AAAAGGGTAATCAGCCTATCAATAGACTGAGTCAAGAGACCCGGAGGTATATACAACTTCCTCCTCAAAATCAGCTGAGACCTCCCACATGTCAGGGTCTTCTTTCGAGCAAGAAGACTGAGGTTCCGCTCCGCGTCTTTTATATGGACCACTTTTATTCGTGGCAGACTTAAAGCCCTCAGCAATAGCTTGGGAAATCCCGCGTTTAAGGTTGTGTTGTTTGGAACTTCATTTAGAAGCATCCGCTATTCCCAATAAGCACCCTCTGCAAAGGTTCTTACCCTTAGGTGCAGAAGACAAACAGTGTAAGCATCGGTAGGTTTTTTTTTTTTTTAATTCTTTATTTATGGTGCGTTTTCATTTTTACAAGATCACGTCCGGCCCCAACAGCCAGGACGGGCACTGTAACTGTAATGCAGGGTAACAAGGTTTGGTAATGGGTTAGTAAACAAGACATCTTATTAAACATTCGCACATTTTGTTTTTACATGGGAGTACTAGTAGGTTTTGTTGTAGCATTGTGTTAAGTTATGAGTGCGTTGATGAGGGAAGCGAGTGGGTAACCAAGGTATTAGTGGTGATGACCTGAGGCTTGTTTCGGTTACCCTAGTAGGTAAGTACCCCTAACCAAGGGGGTATCGGAGGGGGGTTGTACACCTCTTGTGGGTGTATCTCGTGTGTGTGTGTATATGCGAGATGGGTCTGAGGCTGCCTTTCCCCGGGACTGCTTAGTATGTATACCGGGTAGTGGTAGGGTGTATATCATGTGTGTATGCGAGGTGCTTCTGAGACTGCCCCTCTCTGGGTCTGTTCGGATGTAGAACATGTATGAGTGGGGTAACCAGTAAGTGAAGAGAAATCTGAACAGAGGTTAGTATAACGCATAATATAAACCAATATTCTTGGTGGTCTGTTAAAGTTCGTTCCTCGGTGTGGGATAATTGCGCCCTTTTCTTGATCAGTCAGGTAGTAGGTGTGGTTCTCGGTACGAATGGGATCGTTGATTCAGGGTCCCAGGTGTGTTGGACTTGGGGAGCAGAGGTTGCGGTTGGTGTTTCAGTAAGGCCCATTGTGTAGAGTATTGCAGGTGCCTCAGATTCAGTCGTCCCGTTGTGTGTTATTAGTAGGGATCTTGGCGTGCCCTATCTGTATGTTACCCCCGCGGAGCGCAGGCGGCTGGTGAGTGACTGCAGTGATTTACCCCATTGAAGTGTAGTTTTAGTGAGGTCCTGGTAGAGGGTTAAGTGCGATCCTTCAAATGGTAATGGGGTATTACCCCTCACTGCTGCCATGATCTGGCCCTTATCTTGTAATGTATTGCATCGGAGGATGACGTCACCAGTGATTGGGGCTGCCGTCTTCGTGATGGTGGGCAGTCTGTACAGTCCATGGATAGTGAATTTTTTGGCTAGCGCTGGCGGTAACAATGATGCAATCAGTCTTCTTGTGTAGTGAGGTAGTTCCTCAGGGGGTATCCCGCGGATCTTTAGGTTATTACGGTGATGTCTACCCTCATGTGCCGTCATTTGAATTGACATTGCCTGTTGTGTAGTTTTTAAGTGGACCATTGCGGTTTTCAGTTCAGCTACTTCATTTTGAAATTTCCCAATGTCCCCTTCAGTGTGGGTTGTACTGTCACTGAGTTGCTGCATGTTAGATTTCATGGAGGACATGTCTGCAGTTAAGAGCCTCTGTTTTTCCAGCAAGGTATTTTGCATATTGTGGAGATCCTGCTTAGTGGCAGGGGCTGTGCCTCCAGGGATGTCCCCAGTCATGGAGTGTGGGTCCCCCTGTGTTGCTGGGATGTGTGTCTGGCTTGGCATGTCAGGGGTTGCATGGGGATCAGGGCCGTTAGCGGCCGCCATTTTGGATGGTACCTGCCGTTGTAGGAGAGTTCCAATGTCCTGCTGGGACACTCTGTGAGCGTCGCCCCATTGCTGGTGTAGGACTGTGGAGAGTTTTTGCCGGGTAAGCCGGGGTCTCAGCTGCCTTATGTGCACCAGCTCCGCCCAGTAGTGCCTCGAGGTTGGCAAGCGTCGGCGTGAAGTAGGCCCCGGTCTTCTTTTTCGGTTTGGTCTGCCTCGGGGTATATTGAAAAGGCATCTGTCGGTGCCGCAGGATGTCCCCGATCTGTACCCGCTGCTTTCAAGTTCGGGTGGGGTCTGTTTATGTTTGATTTACGGCGGATTTCGCTCGCCGGGAAGGAGCTCTCAGAAATGGCGTCAGGCTCCGCCCCTCAAGCATCCGTAGGTTTTAACCCTTGCTTTACTTGGAGGGGAATCCAACATCTTGCTGGGGCTGAAATAAAAGCCATATATTAACATATATTACAGGCTTAGTCTGGCACTCTTTAACACCCCCTTTAAAATAAGAAAAAGTAATTGGCTCACCTATGTTTTCTAGAGAGGGATCTTGCAGAGGCAGAGGGAGAATCCATACTACAATGTACAATCAATGGAGCATGTAAAAGACAAAAAAAAAAAACAAAAAACCCTAATCTATCAAATGCACAAACATTGAAAGAATAATAAACGCAAACCTTTAGGCAAGGGAAACAAATCCAAGCAGCCAGAAGAACAGGTCACCAGCTTCAATGCCCTCAAATAAGGTGATTGAAGCAGTGTACCAAGGATACCATCAGACGCTCTAGCAGGCACACAGCAACCCCAGCATGTACCAAACAAAAAAATCCCTGAGAGAGAGACCAGGAAACGCCAGTACCGCGCATGCGCAGCCGCTGGAAGGCACGCTATGCGTTCCAAGCAGTCACGTTATACCCTGACATCCATGTGCAGCTGCAAGCGGCACTTCCGTCCGTTGGAACGCAAACCACGTGGTAGCTCCCAAATGGAGGAACCTGTGATAGAAACGAACAGCAGACCCCATGGTCTAAAACAAACCCCCCCCCCTCACACAGGGGGAGACAACATTAACAGGGAAAACAGAGGGCTCCCACCAAGGGAGAACATCCCTATACAAGTATGGATCCCAAAGAGCTGCCTTATAAGGGGGATTTTTTTTTGCCTCAATTTATAGGGGAAATGCATAAGGGGAATTTTTAAGGAGGTCCAACCCTATTTTTTAAAAATACCTTTTTGTTGCTGTGTCTCCCTCAGAACACGAAACACAAATCTCATGCAGCTGTTCAGTACTTATACTCAACCTGACCCAGTTAGTCCTGCTCATGCAGGCTGTTTACTGGGTCCTTCAAATGAAGAGAGGCTGAACTTCATTTGGAACGAACCCACGACAAACGCAGGAAGGTGACCATAAAATAAAATGTAAAAAGTCCTGTAGAATCCGCTAAGGACAGGAAAAAAGACAGGTGTAGGGAGAGGAGGGACTCTTTATACCTATCAGTCTATTTAATATAATTAATTCCTGTCCTGTTACTGCTAAGGGAGGAGCTACCCATAAGTGATGCTGCCATGATTAGCCAGGAAAGACCACTTTTACATTGTCTTTTTCTATCTGTATAAACACTGCACTATTGAATTTCTCTTTGTTTTATATGATACATCTGAAAAATATTGAAATGATCTAGACACATATAAACATATAAAGAATTTTACTTTTTTTATAGAGCTATTTCATGATTTAATATATATAGGTTTCATATTCTATATTTTTTCACAACCTGTGTTTTTATTAAATCTTTGTGTTTCCATGCTAGGGCTTGGAGATAACCTTAAAGGGGCACTACAGGCACCCAGACCAATCAAGTTCATTGAAGTGGTGTGGGTGCAGTGGCCCTGTCCCTTAACCCTGCATTGTTAATTATTTCAATCAAATGGCCACTAAAGGCACTTCCTGCTTGCTAGACGACTTTTGGTCACCTGACGCTGAACGTACTCATGTTCTACGCAAGGACATCCAGCGTCAGTAAAATCTCCATAGGAAAGCATTGCAGCAATGCATTCCTATAGGGAGGTTCTAATGTGCTTGTGGCACTCACCAAGCAGGCGTATTAGTGCACCCTGTCTGGTGACATTGGAAAAGGCAAACCACCCATCCAGTGCCGAGGGAGAACAGTGCTGGAATCCGATAAGTACAGTAAGGGTTTATTAATCCTTACAGTGCTGGGGGTGGAAGTATAGTGCTGTGAATACAGATTTTTATTCCTAGCACTATAGTATCCCTTTAACCTCCGTGTTCGCAGCCACATGTCACCTCTGTGCTAGATATTAATGCTGTATGCTTAGAATGTTTTCGTTTCTACTACATACTTATGTCATGAAATTACAGTTTCAGATAACTGCATACCACCCAACGTTCGAATTCGTCAAAGAGGTACACTTTAATTTTAGTGGTTTGTGTAGAGGTTTAGCCATGGGTGGTAGTGTTCTAAGAAATTTTAGGTGACTTACTAATAACAATTTATGGAACTAAAATGTAATTTAGAAGAAGAACAATGTATCTTATTTACACAGACTGATTTCTAAATACATTTATTATAGTTAAAAGAAACATTACCAGGAGTATTATTGCTGTGGATTTCTACAGTCATACACCAAAAATATTGAGTTCCTAGAAAAGAAGTACAGAGTGATTCGGGTCCAAAATAGGTCATGTTCCTCCTAAATAAGGAAACTTCAGAGATATGTAACTGGTTGTACAAACAGTGTTGTCACTACACTAACACCAAGAGCAATATAATGAACAGCAACCAGGATACCAATAGTTAACAATGACTTTTCCTGAGTTTACAGGTAGAAAGATAATTTATGATTCAGGGAAACTGGAGAGCAATGATGGGCTATGGAGGCTGAGGACACATGTCCATATGACTAGCCTATTGGTCAGTCAGTGGAATTAATATGTTGGTGGTATATAAAATAAAGTAAGCGTACTAATAAAACTAAACACCAGGAGCAAGTTCGCAAGCAGAGCGTTGTAACACAATAAAGAGTTCCAAACACCATTGGACTAAGTTTAACACTCCCGCTAGACTGTGGGTTCACAGAGACGTCTCTAGTGCTTAGCGCTCGGAGACCTTCCATCGGCTGTGAAGATACGTGGCGGAAGTAAGGAGTTCTTCCTGGGTGAGAGCCGGTAAGATGGCGGCGGACACGCAGGTTAGTGTGGCAGCATTGGCGATAATGGAGCTATCGACAGATTGGCTTGTTAGCGTGTGATCCATACCAGATAATGCTGCACACTGTGATTGGGTGCATGTACATGTATTTATATATACACACCCGAGAGATGAGAGTGGTGTAATGGGATAGCAGGTCTGATTATGGAGATGCCGGGTGGGCTGATCAGATATATGGAGGTGGGAGGACCGATGCTTGAGTTTTTCCTGGTTACTGACTGGTTTAATGTGCAGTTGAGCGATACATGAAAAGTGCTGCCTTGGAGTATTCCCCATGGTTGTACTGCCAGATGATTTATATATTAGGAAATCTACATTCTGCACGGCAGCACTTTTCATGAACTGGCCTGTATGTAGAACAGGCTCTATAAAAAGAAATATAGTGATTATGGAAATCCTTCTAAGTGAGATTATAGTTAGAGGACCACTCTAAGAACCATTAACACTACAGCGTTTTCGGCAATAAAGCCAGGTTAAAAACACACAATGGGTCAGCGCTTAATAACAGAAAATAGTGGAGAATAAGGCAGCAACCCTAAGAAGGTGATCCCTCAGAACCTTTCAAAATAATATACAGAGAAAGAAAACAAACAGGGAAGGGCTGGGCCCAAAAAAATAGTACTTAAAGGACCACTATAGGCACCCAGACCACTTCAGCTTAATGAAGTGGTCTGGGTGCCTGGTCCAGCTAGGTTTAACCCTTTTTGCTGTAAACATAGCAGTTTCAGAAAAACTGCTATGTTTACCTATGGGTTAATCCAGTCTCTAGTGGCTCTCATTGACAGCCGCTAGAGGCTCTTCCGTACTTCTCACTGTGATTTTCACAGTGAGAAGACGCCAGCGTCCATAGGAAAGCATTGAGAATGCTTTCCTATGAGACTGGTTGAATGCGCGTGCGGCTCTTGCCGCGCATGCACATTCAGCCGATGACGGAAGAAGAGGGAGGAGAGTCCCAGCACCAAGGGAGCTCGGCGCTGGAAAAAAGGTAAGGGATTAACCCCTTCCTCCCCCCCTTCAGCGAGTATGTTTTCCTAGCACTATAGTGGTCCTTTAACCCCTTAAGGACACATGATATATGTGAAATGTCATGATTCCCTTTTATTCCAGAAGTTTGGTCCTTAAGGGGGTTTAAGTTTCTTTCCAACAGTGCAAATTGTCATTGAAGGTATCTTGTGCAGCTGTGGTTTCTGAGTTCTTTATACATGGGGGATGTGGAAGGTCTGAGTGTCTTCAGACTCCGTATGTGGATAAAGAGAAGACAAAGCAACCTAATAGTGCAAAATGTCAGGGCTTGACAGACAACACGTAAATAATAAAGATATTGCACTCACATGTAAGTCTATGACCAGCTCTAGTGTATATCGCATATAGTGGTATAATCCCCACTTATGGGATATGATGATGATATTTCACAGCAGTTGGTTGTCTAGGTGCTCAGAAAAGAAATAAAAAAATAGCCACAAATAGTGCTCTCAGTAATATAATAAAAGGTATATAAAATAAGCAGCATTGTACTCACAAGTGTAGAGCAGACCCACTGCTCTATGATGATGGCGTTGGTGGTATGATCCCCACCCGGGACATTCTTGAGAGTAGGACTGATAAAAAATAGTTGATAAAATAGACAAAATGCCAGGAAGTATTAATAGGTTATTGAAATAAAGAGGTAATGGCACAATAAATTATTGTGAAACCAAAATCCTTTATTCAATTAAAAAAAAATCTAAAAAGTAATGTCCATAACGAGTTTCACCATTTAGGCTTTCTCAAATGGAATGAAAAAGCCAAGCAAGACAGTTTTTTTACAATTCTGGCTTAAAATATGCAGATCCATGGATAAATTCTTGAAAAATTAATTTAGCAAATAATTCTGGCAGTATCATATTTTGTATTCACATACTTTCTTGGTATGGATGAAGCTGCTTATCTAATGAATAAGTTACACTATATTATTTTCACATTTTACCCAAACAATTTTATCTTCTTTATTATAATTATAGTAAATATTTTGCAGTTAAAGGAGCGCACAAAGCGATAAAGCACTTTAGCTTGCTGAAGTTGTTTTAAGTGTGAATCATGTATCCTCTATTTTTAATTTTACAAAAAGTGCAAATTACACTTGTTACACCCTCCTAGCTATCAGACAACCTGTCTTCCATTTCCTGACAGTTTAGCTCAGTGAAGCTAAACTCAAGAAGAAAATTGCCCAGTGCACCTGCCTTGCAAAGACTTCTCATTGAGCGGCATTGGGAAGTGATTTGGGCAGCCACAGATAGTCTGGCCTGAGGAAGAAGTATAGAGATTGCAAAATCTGCAGACAGCAGATGTAAATGTTAGATATACCCCCAATTAAAAAATGCAGTAATAAATACATGCATTTGTTTTTATTGAGGATATATCTACTAAATTTAAACAAAAAAACATTCAAATGGAGTGTCCCTTTATCACTTAAAGGAACACTCCAACATTTCAATTAATTAGTTTTTAGTATTAGAATGGTCGTGCTTCGATTACTGACCCGCAAATTTATTTTAAAAGTAAAATTTTGCTCAAAAACAACTTTTGTGGGGCGGAGTTTAACCATGGAGCCGAATGGACGCCATTCTCCACGGCTCCCCAGCATTAACAGCCAATCCTCCAAATATCACAGGGACAGAGGACCATGGACCCGTGAGACCCACGGCATCAGGGCTCAAAGGATTATCCACCGATGCCCTTTTTGTATGCACAAACAAGCATTTAAAAACGCTGCAAATATCTGGCCCAACTCGCCCTCCCGCCAGTGTCGCAACTTCCCGCGACGTTCTTCCCGGGCCTAGAAGACTGGTCCCAACAGCCAGCTGACCACCAGCGCCTCCTCCTAGCAACAACATGGGGATACGTTCGCAAAAGTCACAACAAGGTACACCCAGGGACTCCCGAGAAATAGGTGCCCTACTGCAACGCACCGCAAGCCACAAGATGGTGGACGAACAGGACCCTGAGACTAGCTCCACATGCTCAGAACAGCTGTCAGAGGGACACAGAACAGACCGGCGATCAGAGTCCCCCAGCAACCCACAAGCAGAAGGGGATGACTCAGCCCCAGCCACCAAAAAGGATATCAGGCACCTACTGCAAGAAATGAAGCATATGTTTGATGCTGACATAAACCTGGTGAGAACAATAACGCAGGCAGTGACAGCACGGTACAGGCCTCTGAAGAGGACATATTAGACCTCAGACAAGAGGTGAAAAGCATGGGGGACACCCTGTGACACTTAGTCTGCAAACACAGCATTCCAAAACACGCTAGATGCCATGGAAGACCGCAGCAGGTACACGCATTTCAAAATTCGGGGAATCCCTGATATAGTAAGAATTGCCATAGTTCCTGAGGAGACTCCTGCCGCACACTCAAGCCAAAAAGCTGGAATTAAACCGTCACTTTCACATAAATAAGGCCAAAAGGGCACCCACAACGGCTCCAAGGGACGTCCTAATGCGTTGCCGCTCCATGTCAGACAAACACCACATACTAGCATCGGTAAGAGGCAAGACACCACTGGACTTTAAGTATTCACAAATCACCTTTTTTCCAAGACATCACTCCAAACACCCTACCCTGGAGAAAGTCCTTTGGCAAAGTGACGGCATGACTTCAGAAAGAGAAAGTGGAATATAGATGGCTGTTGCCGAGAACATTGGCAGTTATCAGCGGAGAAGATGTCCTAAAACTCACCACTGTCGGAGGCCCCTGCCTGCCTCCAAAAATTAGGACCATCACTGAGCACCCCAACGCATGGGATTCAGAGAGAACCGTTCCATTCTTCCCCAGGAGTGGCAGGAGGCGGTGACCTGAACACCTCCCAAAATGCATATTACTAGTTTCCATGTTCTCCTGTTTTCTCATCTAAGTTCACCCTACTGTTCTCTATACACTCTAAGTTTAGTTACTGCCCCCCCATCCCCTCCTGTGACCCCCTTAGGTTAGGGGTCGACACTACCCACCAATCCAAATACCGCACACCCGAGACACAACCTCTGCTTAGGCTCTGATAGAAGCCCTAGGCTTACACAGGGGCACAAACACCAACTTATAACGTGATAAAAGACAAAACTAACCTACCACTTTATGCCCCCTACCCAAGCTACAGAGGATTGTGACACCCAATCACTCGTAAGAACATAACACAGACCATGCATTCGCCTTACTTAATTACACCCTGATTCCCTTATGGGTACCAATAGCATGGGCACACTCACCTCACTTTAAAAAAAAAAAATGCATATTCACTTCTACTGTTTTATTCCCGACTGCACAAATACATTCTATTTCCTTCGACTATTGAGCATTCCGCCTAGCAGCGGGACAATAACAATATGCTTGTTGCCTATTAGTTTCTACCTATATACACATTTACAACATGTTTACTAGCTAAGATCTATGTTTCTGTAAATGCCTCTTAATGACTTGACTGTGCAGTTGTGGCATCACAAGTTTGCTTGTTTCAATCTAAATGCACTGAAAAAAAAAAGGAAAAAAAACCAAAATACTTTTATACCAGATCTGGGTCAGTCTCCTCAAAGGAGTTGTTCTGCTACCAGGGAAGTCATTATTTACGATGACTTTTGTCCTGTCCATTGACATGCATTGTAAACACAGGGCCCATGTGGAGCCATTTCTACACTTACATCTCACTGTCAGTCAAATGCTTCTCATAGAGAGGCATTAACTCAAACTTATCTTTGAGAGGCATTAGATGTGTTCAGTGTCATTATGCTGTGCGAGATCCTTATGGACAGGAAGGGAGACTGTTATCATGGACAGTCTACCATGGTTAGATCGGAGCAGCAATGAGGAAGGACTCACTAGTTGGGGGGAAAAAAAGGCATGTAAACGTTACTTTTAGGTTAGGGGAGTTGTGCCCAACATTGGTAGGGTTAAAGGAACACTCCAAACATTAGAACTGAATATTGGCTTTTAATGTTCCTTTAATTCTCCTAGCTATATTTTTTATCATAGATCTTTAAAGTAAACTGACTTTTAGACTGACATTGGCTTTATGGGATTCATATTAAACATCTATTGCTATGAACGAACATTGTTGTTCTTGTCTGTCACATGCATTACTCAGGTGTAAATGGTCATGTTTGATGATAAATACCCTGGTAGTGTCTCTTGTATTAACTCAACACCTTTTTTAGTTCTTTTTATTTTGTTGAAACATTTGTCACTATAACTATTTACCTTTTTGTGTATTATTTCCATACTGTTTTATCTAACCTTTAAGCTTCATTTAACTTTTTTGTGTTAATAATAGACTTTCCATTCATTGCAGATGTTACCTAAGTCTATAACGATAGAGAGATATGTGTGTGTGTCTGCCTATGTGTATACATATATATATGTGTTTTGCTTTATTTAAACTAGCAAAAGTTTGTTTTGGGCGGTCCTTTTGAATAAAGGTGCGTTTTAATCCACACTCAGACAAATTGATTGCCCTTGATTTAAATTCTAGACAATGGATTCAAATAGATCAAAATCATTTGATTCAGACAAATTGTCTGAACAAACCTTTGCACAGGTCTAACTGAAACTGTTCTTTTCAATTAGGCACAGGATGCTTTGAAGAAATTTGCAGCAAAAGTCACAACAGCCAGTGTGAAGGAACGCAGACAAATCCTCAATGAGCTGAAATCCTGCATCACAGGAAAAGGTGGGATTAATTAATCAAATCTGAATATAGAAATCATGTAGATTATTGGTTAAGGTGTTATTTTCCATTCTTATTTATGAACATATTATTATTATTATTATTATAATTATTATTAACATATGGCAAGCCATGTACAAGTTATGGTTTATATAAGTATAGTATAATTTTCTTGGCTGCTGTCTTTGAGACCCATACTGTGTAATAATATTCGGCTTTAAAATACAAGATGTTTGCAAACAGTGTAATAGTTAAGGTTCACTCTAAACATTATCACAGCTTTGCATTATTGGAAGTATTTATAATTACCGTGCACCCTGCAGCTAGTCTTCAGCTCTGAGAGTGGCTTAGATCTGCAGTAATTTGAAAAAAGCCTCATAGAGCTGTCAATAAGGCAACCCAGAGCAAGAATTCTGAGCTGTCTATATCAATTGTTTATTTTTTTGGTGTGCAGTGCTTGCATACTGTACTCAAAACTTAGACTGCCCACGTTTACAGTCTGCTCAACTCACAGCTTAACAGAGCCTGATTCACTAAACAATGAACTGTGCTATGCTATCCATTTAACTGAGCCTTTCTAGTCATGTGATGAGTAGAACTGCTCTTTGGGTATAAATTACTTAACCCATAAACTATTACTGGGCAAGGATGTATGTGCTAATATCAGGCCCCATAGAACAGAATCGGAGACTCATGACTTGCTGGAAGACCAACAAAACTTTGGAACTTTTAAGGTGGGAACGAGAATTATTTGTTGTCTTTATCAGTTGTGTCCTAGTTTGCATGTGGCATCTGTTTGCTACGTGTTAGGCGGAGTTCCACTTATCACATGACTGTGGCTAAACAGTGAACTGGGGTCTGTGTCTAATAATAGCAGCTATTATTAGACACATAGTCAAGCTCATCTCATTCTATGTGTGGAACTGCTCTTTGGGGTAAAATACTTATCACCTAAATCCATTCTCTAAGATCCAAATCCATAAATCAGAATGAGATACTCCTGATTTGGTTGCAGACCCACCAAATACTGATTTAGCCTGGAACTTCTAAAGTGACTTATCTGTATTTTTTTCTAAAAAAATTTTTTATGCAGTATGTATATAGTGCTTAATAGGGGGTTCAATTTATTTTACATTTTCTTTAAATAAAATCCTTATTATTAAAAATGGCAATTATGTACAAATGTTTTCTTTTTAAGAAAGGTGTAATGTGGCAAAATTCAAGTTTAATATGCTTTCAATCAAGTTCTCCACGACAGAACTACTTGGCGGTGACTCCTGACATTTTCCTTTTGGGTCCAACCACATCTTCTCTTAATACTATTGTTTCATTGTGTATCCTTTCTACCATTGATCGGTGCACTCAAAACATTCCAATATATAATCTTTATTAAATTATCTTTATTTGATTTATAAAAGACTTAAAAAATACAGGAAAGGGAGTATAACAATCCTCCCAAAAACATACAATTACAAAACAGAAGTATATCTTTTACTTTTATACAGAAATCTGCATTGACCTTCCAAATACATTTGACAACACAGGAAATAAACAAACAAGACCGGACAAACATTATTGGTCATTCTCCATCCCAGCATAATACTAGGTCAGAGAGCTCACCACTTACTACCAAACCCCCCCTCCCAAAAAAGAGATAAGCTCGGTGCCAAAAATACATTCAAGTGACTAAACAGTAATATATAGACCTAAAACCCTATGCAATCAGAATATCCGTGTCAGGGATCATCTTTGGATGTTAGATCCATTAATTCTCAACACTTAAAACCTGTTAGTCCTTTCTTGAAGGGTGATATATAGTTCCAATATTCTATGATTAGAAATTAAATTCATAGAATATACACCGTTTTCCATCTCTAACTGGTATAACACTTGGGTTTTTAGTTGGTCCTTAGTAGGAACCTCTATATACGTCTCCAGTGTCTAGCAATTAGGATCTTAGTTGCGAATAAACAATGAGTAAGAGCCATATCAGTTTCTTGATTCGTATCTGGTCATATTATATGTAATAGAGCTAACTCTGCCTTTTGTTCGAAGCGTTTGTCCGCTAATAAATAAGATTAAAGGTCAAATTCCACAAGGATTTAATTCTGGGGCAGGACCACCAAATGTGTAGCAACGATCCGTCTGGATGAAAACAGCGCCAACAATTAGGCGGATTAGTCTGATAAATTTTTGCTAGTCGTACAGGGACCATATACCATCTGTATGCAATTTTAATAAAAGTTTCCAAAATATTCAAACAATGGATATATTTTTTTTTTTTGTCCTCAAAAAAGACTTACACCAAATATCCAATGGTATATTTATCGCTAATTCAGCTTCCCATTTTATTAGTAATTCATGTGTATGGTTTCTTTTGCTTTCCAGAGCTTCCAGAACCAGCAGTAAAAGGTCTCTGCAAGTTATTCTGTTTAACATTGCATCGTTATCGGTGAGTACCCAGACATTCCTGTAAAACTTTGCTCTTGGATCCAGTTATTTCACCAGTGTTATTTGAATGCTTTTCTACAGAGATGCAGCGTCCCGCAGAGCTCTTCAGTCTGTTCTCCAGCAACTGGTGGAATCTCAGCCAGATGTTACTGCTAAGAATTTGTTGCAGTCATTACAGTCTTTTGGTGTTGGGACAAAAAACGTAGAGCCCAGGTAAATTACAGACTGAGGGGATCAATCGGAAGATTGTTTTGGTTGATTTTAGTTATTCATAATTCATTTTTATTTGATCTATTTGCAGTAAGTGCAGTGGTTCCGCTGCAGCACTAGCCTTATCTTGGACGTGTGTTGTAACAAGAGTTGTATTTTCAACGCCAGACAAACGGCAAGGGGAAACATGGAAGAAGTTGGTACGTGTTTTGGGTGCATTTCATTCATCTTTTTTAGTTAAAAAAACATGCATCGCTAATTAAAAAAATAAATACAATTTAAACCAGCAAGGAAACAATTTTAAACAAATATACAATCCAAAATAAGCAAGAAAATCGTTAAAAAGCATATAACACACATTTACAAACTTGGTCAAATGCATTGATGGTCATACCTCAGCAACATCCCCACCCCCCCCAAACACAACAGGGAGAGCTAAAACTAGGAACTTGCTCTGATCAGATTTTCTCGTCTGCATGTTACAAAGAGATTTATGTGACTGTCAGGCATAACACTTTTTTTTTTTAGTATTCATATGGATAGGACACTGGTTAGATCAAAGTCCCTAGTGAAGTGGGTGTAGAATGCACAAGAAAGAAGCAGGTAAATATGAATACAAATCATATTTACCTGCTTTTTCAGCCTGCAAAGTGAGGCAACTGTCTCATTCAAAGCAAAAGATTTTGGATGAGACAGTTGTCTCAAAGTGATGCATGTCCCTTAAAATAGTCTGTATGTTATGTATACTGTATGCTATGTATACTTAATACATGCTCTGTATGTCTATTTTCCATCCCTGGTTTTGAAATTTCCTCTCAGCTCTGTATCTTTCGTCATCCCCTTCAGTTGACAAAGCTGGCTATTCATTAATTTCTCTTATTAGGTGGAGTGTCAGTCTTTCCTTCTGATGGAGATATTAGGAGGATCACACAGGCATGCTGTGCTTGGGTCTTCGAAGAAGATGACTTCACTGTGGAAAGAGGTATGTAAAATCTTGTCTACCTGGAGACAGGCAATTTTGTTTCTCCCTCCTTACCTCCCCAGAAATATGGGTTTTAAATGTAACTTCCTTCCTCCCCTCCCTCCCAAGAAATGTGAGTTATAAATGTACAAATAAAGGTTACTGTCTGTGCTCATTTGCATGATCAGCATGGAATTCTGGGAGGGTTGTGGAAATGCAGTCTTTCTTCCTTTCTTTTTTTCTCTCCCTCTCCTATAATGACCGTGTTTTGTTGTCTACAGAATCCTGGTCTTGTGGAACAATACCTGGACACCATATTTAGCCTGGAGTCAAGCCAGGCATTTGCTGGTATGCTTGGCCTCTCTGTGCAGTTTTGCACAAAACACAGATATGTGGAAATGCTCAACACATACAAGGTATGTTTATGGAGTGTCCCATGATGTTTATACATGAAATTTGTTCATTAAATTGGTAATCTACTTTTACTGTTTATTGTATACTGTGAGCTTTTTCCTTTCAGAACAACCTTCTTGAATTCTATGTGAAGAATGTGCTCATGAGTAAAGGAAAACCTCAGAAATACCTACTGGTGAGTATCATGCCGCGGTCTGAGTCAATGTTTTGATTGGTCTGACAAATGAAAGTACACTAATATATTCTTTGATTTTAGGAGAGTTGTATCCCACTGATACAACATTTTTCCCATTCAGAGTTTAAGGATCAGATTTTACCCGTGTTGCAAAAATCTCTTCTCCGCAGCCCAGAAAATGTGATTGAAAGTAAGTGCTCCAACAGCTAATGTTTAGAATATTTGAATGTTATTTATTTGGTGTAAGATAAAAGCTAGTGCTTGCCTGATAGTCAAATAGCACAACACTCCCTTTAATAGAACTGAGATGTTGCACTACAGTCAAGATTATTATCTATCGTGTATATTGCTGGGAATTTAAGTGAATTTCATATTTCGGCCAAACGAGACAAGTTGAAAAAATAAATAAAATTCAAATCTCACTTTTTTTTTGTTTTCCGTTTAGCTGTTTTGGCCTAAAAATTCACTTTGCATTTCAGACAATCCACATTTTAGTGCAAACAAGCCTGTATGGAGTCATCGTCATTAAAATGCAGATATAAGTCATGATTGGCTAAACTTATTTATATGGAATAATTATTCATGCTTTTGTTTTTCAGCAATTTCATCTCTGTTTGCCTCTGTAACACTTGATCTAAGCCAGTACGCCCTTGACCTTGGAAAAGGTCTTGCAGGTATATACGCATCATGTGATGGAACGTGTTAGGCATAGTTTGTAAAATATTTTTTTTTTTTTTTTTTTTTTTAAATTTATGAATTTTAACTTGAATATTTTAGGGACTTTTTTGTTTTATTGGTACTCCCTTTAGTGGAACTTAACTCTAGATTTATTATAGTTCTTCTTGTATCCAATGATGATTTTATTTCCTCTGTGGAGTACTAATAATTGCATTTTAATTCTCTATTTATTTGAAGGTCAGCTAAAATCAAACAACTCAAACCTTATGGATGGAGCTGTAGTTGCTTTGCAGAACCTGGCACATCAATGTAGTGACTCAACTGCAGTTGAGGCACTTGGTAAACACTTGCTTGCCATCTTAGGAGGTAAGGTACCAATGCAGCTTTGAGAAAATTGATGAGCTGTTGTAGTTGGAGCATAATAGTAATAATTCTTTTCATTTTAGGTTCAGAGGGCAAACTGACAGCTGTGGCTCAGAAAATGAGTGTCCTCTCCGGTAAGATTGCTAATGCTGTGAATCTAAATGTAGGCAGCTAGTTAAAGTGGCTCTGTCTCCTGGTGTCTTTGAATATTTTGCAAAGACCCCTGATGGTGACTTTGCCTCTTGCAGTGTGGTGGCCGCAGGGTGCATAGAAAGGCGAGTCTTACCTACTTGAACCAATCCCTCATGGCTACCTCAATCCTCTTCAGCTCCTGGTGATATTTCTTCCCCGAACCAACGTTATTGCTATACTCTTGTGCATGTACGAGAAGGCACCAATATCTATTGAGACGACTGAGGTAGCCTCCATAGACAAAGCCTTTTTCTCCTCAGACTTCACTAGTGATAGTGCAGGACATGACAGTGGTAGCTCCTCCTTGTCAAGCGTAGGAAAAATACATGAAACGTGTTATCTTCTGACTGAAACCGAATTTGATTGAAATTGCAACACAGTCAATATGAGTATTTCAGTCATTTTATCTTTATGATTTTATCTTAATAAATGTCAGTGTTTTTAAGTAACTTCTCTTCACTTACTGTAACAAGCAACTGCCATAACTTGGAAGACCCATGGAAATATATATTCCACACTTGTATTCATAATATATATTGTCTGATAATTTTCACAATAATTGTTTAATATTTTCTATATTGCCGCTCATATTCAAAAGATCAGTCTGTTATCTCCTTGCTTTGTTTTTTACAATCTTTTTTTCTTCTTCCTCCTCCTTTTCAGGCATTGGTAGTCTTAGTCACCATGCTGTTTCTGGAAGTTCCAGCCAAGAGCTCAGTAGGATAATTTCAGAAATGTTTATTCCTTTCCTTCAGCAGGAAGGTAAGAACATTTAAGATGTGAACTGTTTAACCAACACACATTAGTGTGTCCTTCGGATGTCTGTGTTGATATGCACAAAACATTTAAGTACATAAGAACAAAACAGATCTAAAGCTGTTTGCTGTTTTTTTTATAGTTTACTGTGGAGATTAACTATAGTGGAAAAAATATGCACTATAAGGTTAGCTCAAAATGAAAGTTATTACCTGGTGCTTAGTCAGTCATAAGGATACACATTTTCCAAAGGAAGATAACACTCTACGTAGATTTAATTTTTTTTTTATTTTTTTTTTTAAATGTGACGTTTGCGACTGATAAACGTTTCAACATCACATAAAAGCTTTCATCAGGACCAGGTCCTGAAGAAAGTATGCACTGTCAAACTGAAACGGTGTCTAAATAAACAGCCATTTGTGTTCTTTACCAAGAAGTCCAGTGCACAAGGTTTTTGTGTGTGTGTGTATATATATTATATGATCTAAAAATATAGTGGGGATAGCTATAATTTAAATACCTTAGGGTCGTTTTCCTGGCACTATATGGTCTTTAGGTCCCCCCCCCACCCTCAGGGTCCCACTCCTGCCAGGCGGGGGAAGACGGGATTAATCCCTTACCTTTCTCTAGCGCCGGGGACTCTCCTCCCTCTTCAACCACATGCGCGGCAAGAGCCGCGCGTGTATTCAGTCAGTCCATAGGAAAGCATTCTCAATGCTTTCCTATGGACCCTGGCGTCTTCTCACTGTGAAAATCACAGTGAGAAGCGCGGAAGTGCCTCTAGCGGCTGTCAATGAGACAGCCACTAGAGGCTGGATTAACCCATATGTAAACATAGCAGTTTCTCTGAAACTGCTATGTTTACAGCTGCAGGGTTAACCCTAGATGGACCTGGCACCCAGACCACTTCATTGAGTTGAAGTGGTCTGGGTGCCTATAGTGGTCCTTTAATGTTATGTGCAGGTTTTTGTGCTGCTTTAGATTTATTGAACTTTTATGCAATGCATTTTTTACTTATTTTTTTTTTTCCTTTCTATATATCTAAGTTCATGAAGGAACTCTAATACATGCTGTGTCGGTGCTTGCTCTGTGGTGTCAAAGGTTTACAACTGAGGTCCCCAAGAAGCTAATAGAATGGTTTCAAAAAGCCTTTGTTCTAAAGACTAGCACATCTGGAGTAAGACATTCCTATTTGCAGTGTATGCTGGTGACATTCAAAGGTAAGTTCATTTATTTGCATTGGCTAATTAAATGATGACCTGGTTTGCATAAATATCTACCTAGTATAGTAGTGCTTTTTTCTTTTTTTTGCCTTATGTCGTGTGAGGAGGTAAACATATGCAGAACAAGTATCTATCTATCTACATACACACACTCACCAGAAATAGCCTTTTGTATGTACCACCAAGGCAAACCTTTCCTATTGCTGCTAATAATCTCAAGTAAAATATTATACTAAAGAATTAAGTTATTTAATGTGAACTATAATGTTCGTTAATAGTTACCTTTTTAATGTAAAAAGTTGAGACCTGCCTTTGGTATATCTATTCTCTGTACAACATCTGTTTTTGTTCCATAGGTGATACACTACTGCAGGCTTTAGCGTTATTACCCACACTCATTCAAACTGTGGAGAAGACCACATCACAAACAACACAAATATTTATGTTGGCAGAAGCTCTGGCAGCCGCTGTTCTGATATGCAGAATTTCAGTAGCAGAACCTCAAACTGGTAAGTGTCTAAACAAGTGCATTGTGGGACATGCTGACCATTCTATTTCATTCTATTTCCATTGTTTATCACATTTTCCCTCCTTGTTTTTTAAAAGTTTATTACATTTAATGAAACTTCGGGATAAATAAAATTTAAAAAATGTGTGTGTATTGTTTTATTTTTATTTTTTAAATAGCTGAGCAGCCATGTTGGGCCAGACTTTTCTGTTTTCTGGCCAACTACTGCTCAGCCTGACTTGTCTGTTTCTGTAATTTCTGTGTGTTATCCTGCAGCCACAGGCAAGTCCGGTTCAATAACATTGGAGTCTGACACAACATGGCTGATCAGCTAGATGAAAAAAAATATATTTTTTATATATATATATATATATAATTTAAAAACATATTACATTTCATTAACTATAATAAACATTTAAAAACAAGAAGTGAAAATTTGATGGGACACTCTGGGCACTAAAACAACTATTAGTGTGATTGAAGTTTTAGTCTCTTTAACATGCTGTTAGTTTTGTGTGAATAAATATGGTTACCTTTTGCAAAAATAAAGTCAACTTTGGCAGGTTTCTGTACTATAAACCTGCGTCTGTGGCCCCGCTCCCCATTATAACATTCATTCTGGCTTAGCCCAGTATCTACGTAGCTCAGCCACTGACAACATGGAGTAGTGATTTGAGCTGCAGACCAGAAACTGGCATGGCAAGGAGAGGACAGATGGCAGGCATTCTGTACCTATATCTCTACATGTCTGCTCTTCTGTTTACCTTTCATTACCATCTTTTTACAACTCATTGAATTCTTTGTATGTGTGCGCACCAGGTTATTACCTCTGCTACGTTTTCATAGCTTCCCTGCCCCTTTCCTGTCTGTCAACTAATCGTGATGGTCTGCAGCAGGAGAGAGGAGGTGTGGCCTTGTGATCCGTGTCTCTGGGGAAGCGGAAGGAGATGGTTTGTTTCTCCTTATCTGTGGAGGGGATTTAGTGATTACTTGTATATGTGTGTTGTTGAGGTAGTCAGTGGGTCCAGTGTGGGTGTACTTGGATGGGGTAGGTCTTCTGTTGTGCTGGTCTTCCAGCATTTCCATTTGCAGTGCAATGGTACTAAATTCAAAGTGGAATGTTGAGTACACTGGGCTGAAAAATGCCATTTAGTATAGGTACATAATTTCTAATACTAACTGGCATTGCAGTTACAGTTAGTACAAATAGCATTGCACACTGAAATGCCATTTTATTGTTAATGTAATGTATTGACAGTATGATGTACATAGTTCTTATCACCATGGACTTCATACTGACTGGTCATAAACCAGATTCTAAAATGGAAGCCAGCTAGGATTCTCTGGCAAGTCCAGCTTGGCAGAGTAAAAGGTGGAAAGCAAAAGTATTTAAAAACAATTTCCACATTTTTGGAAATTCAGTCTGTTCTTTTACAGAGAAACTCTTAATTTGTATTATTTAAAGTAAAGGATTATGTGTATTATAATCTCTCTATTATTTTGGATTCACTTTATATTCATTACAGGATAATGCACGCAGTGGCTAAATTAAATGACATTTTCCCCATTTCTTTATTTAACAAAACAAAAAAGCAGTTTTCCTTGAAGTGGTTATAAAAACTTTTTAAAAATAATGTATTGTTCTGAGTAAAATAGTAACATTTGACCATTTAACAAACATTTTTACTTTTCAGTGTAAGTAAATATTCCATTTTCTTTTTACTTGTCTTTATTTCTTGTAGAGGCAAAACTTGGCACCTTCTGGCAAATACTGGGGGATGAGAAGAAACAGATTTTCACCTCAGAGAAATGTATTTCTTCAGCTTCAGAAGACTGTAAGTGAGCTCAGATCCCTATTCACTATTGTAACTGTCACTGCCAGCAGGCTCAACATACTACTGTTTAACTTAACTGGCTGCATAGATTGCATTTGCAGGAGTACTAACTAAGCTCACTGCCTGTGCAAGGAATCAAGGATTTTTTTGTCTCTACGAATATAATATAAACGTTGACTTCTGTGGACATTTTAATTATAACACTGCTTTAACTGCTTTAGACATTTAAAGTGCATTTCATGTTTAAGACCAAAGTTGCTGATTTTGAAGCACAGCAAAGAAAAAGTTTCTAGCTCAGCTGTTTTATCTTGATTTGAAATTCACTTTGAATTCTCACAATGACTCTGTTCAGTGAGGCAGTAGACGAGGTCGTGCACTGTCAGGCAGGCCAGCTAATTCATATTCAGCACACTAACACTAACAATGTAACCTGTGTGATTGGTTGATTCAAAACTGTAATCTTGTATGCCTGTTAAACTGATTATTGAGATGGATATGGTAAGACGTATAGCCAGGGACTACATAGAATGGCTTAGCTCAGTGGATAGAACCTGAGCTGCAGTGCCTCAAAGTGGCAAGTTTCATTCCTGGCAAGTTTAACCCAGCCTCTCATCCTTTCAGGATTGATACAGTGAGTTTCATTGAGTTGTGTAGTATCTGGTTCCTTGAATGTACTTGAAAACTAGTGAAAGTTAAATATACATTTCCTGGTTACATACTTGAAATGTTTTGCAAATCAATAATTATATTTAGCAGGCATAGTAATTGACAATTGTAACTGTCTAGTGATCAAACATGCTGCTGTTCATTTTATTTGGATAAGATTTGCCTTTGTTTATTTGTAACTTTGGAAAATATACACTTCAAGGTTGATTGTGGATTTTTTTTTTATTTACACATTCTTGTTGTAATATGTATTTGTTCTCTAGCTCTTTGCATATTGCTACAGCTGATTGAGAGACTCCTCCTTGATCATGCGCATTGGATACCCGACAGCAAAGCATTGTAAGTTTATTTTTTAACCTAAAAATGCAAACTCTACAAAAATCTTTTATATTGTGACCTTATTCAATGTCCAGATTGCTTATTGTCTCTGTTATACATGTTCTCATGTAGCCCTTATTATCGTGCTCTGGTCAGTATCCTGCTGAATCGCTCATGGAAAGTACGGAAACAGGCCCAGCAGACGGTCAAAAAGCTTCTGGCATCCCTTGGGGGACCAAAGCTAGTGTATGGTCTTTTGGCAGAATTAAAAGTTGTACTGAATTCAAACAAGGTGAGTTTATTTGATTACCAATTTTCATGACCATGTGGTTAATTTTTTAAGGATCACACAATACTTCTCTGGGCACCAACCAAACTCAAGTTCATTTGATTGATTTTGTCCTCTTTTTCATGCTGTAGTTTTCTCCACATTAAAAACCTTTAAGAAGCCCAACACTATCCATTGGCCATGTCTTATCTTTTTATAAAGCAACTTCTTTATTGGATCTATTATTGGCTGTACATACTCTATATCTGCCTTACAGAATTTAATATCAGTGGATACTCCTCATACGGAGTCTGAAGAAGGGGCAGAATTAGGGAAGTCTCATCTATTTCCACGGTTCCTTCAAGAAGCGTTATATGTGCTCATCTCTTTGCCTGGGTTGGAGGTTGACGTAGTGGAAGCAGAAAAGCTCGCTCTTGAGTTATTGATTCTGGCAAATCATCCATCCGTTGGTAAATAATGTATATAAAAAGCCTTCTAATACAACTTGGTCACACTTCGCTGTTTGCTTGATCTTTCAGTCTCTGTCGTTAAACAGGCACTGTATATGCTGACCTTTGGGTAGATCTTTTACATAAGATGAAGATTGAACCAGCTGAATTCATTGACAAACACTTTGATGATATTATTCTTATAATCATGCCACAGGCTGCTGCAGACCAGGTGATTGCATGTGATGTTAACATAGATGTGTACAATAAATGTCAAAATTTAATGGCATAAAATAAAATTTTTACATTTATTTTTAATAAATTGAAGTTTGCATTTATTTGATTTTCAGTCCTTATTATCCCAATAAAAATACATTTTATTTCTAGGCATCTCTTAATGCTGCTGGTTTGCTGTCTCGTCTTTCTCCTGGTAAAGTTCTGCCGCGACTGATTGGAATCATCACTGAATCCCTGGAAAACCCAGCACTCGGTCTCGTTACTCGTGAAGAATTTGCCATAATGCAAACACCCGAGGGGGAGCTGTATGATAAATCTATTATATTAAGGTGAGAAACTTTGTCATCGCATACTAGTGTCCTATTCTAACCATATATATTATATAAATATTAGAGTCTCTGCTTTTTTCTTTTAGTGCTCAACAAGATAGTTTGAAAAAAGCCAACATGAAGAGAGAGAATAAGGCATATTCTTTTAAAGAGCAGATCATTGAACTGGAACTAAAAGAGGTATATATTTTATCTGCTTATTGAAAACGTGTCAGCATCACACTAGTGACATCCTCTTGCAGAGTTTACTATTCATATATTGTGTCTATTGCTGTAATCGTTAACTCTTTATTGCAGGAGATAAAGAAGAAGAAAGGAATAAAAGAAGAATTGCAACTAACAAGCAAACAGAAGGAAATGGTTCAAGTACAACTGGAGAAAGAGAGCCAGATACGCAAGAGACTGCTCCAGGTGAGGACTTAATGGCATTGACTTGCAAAAGGGGTATTTACTAAGATTTGTCACTCGTGTGGATGTGTACTAAAATCCTTCTGAAATATTTAAATAGTGATGATCTTGCACCACTATTTGATAATGATCGGTTGGTTTGAAGATATCATTTCCTTTGTTTTTGGACACCCCATTTCATAAACGGTGTGTCTCTCCAAAAAATAAGTTATTTGTCAATCTAAATATTTTTTATGCTCTAGATAGAGCAAATGTTTTAACAATATTTTGGAGTGTCTAGTACTTGGACAGTTATATATTATTAGTTTTATGTTGTCTTTAAGCAGTTGTGAAACATTGCCTTTTGTGTCTTATTGTCGGAAGTCATTTAAAAAGTGTTTTCTGATAAGCCTTCAGAAGATTTCAGCCCGATTCTTACTTGTTTTTTGTTTTTATTTTTCTTCTAGATGGACATGGACTTGGAAAACATTACAAAGCTTTTGTCATGCATTATACAGCAAAGACCATCTAGTCTATCTTACCATATCCCGACTCTGATCAGCTGCTTCCTACCACTGTTAAAGTCTCCTTTAGCTGCGCCTCGAATTCAGGAACTTTATGTTGCACTCGCTGGATGTGTTATGCCAGCTCATTTGAAAACATTTGGTAGGCAATTTTCTTTTCAGTTTGATTTCTAATTTAATGATTTTAATGATTATCATTTTTTTATATATATATATTTTCTTTTTATTATTTTACCTACATATTTATTTATTTTTTCCCAGAACTGGCTAATGCAATCTCCTTTTGTTTCCATAGGGTCTTTGGTTGCTCACATAACCCTCCGTTTGTTAAACCCAGAATGTAATATAGATGCTGCTTGGTGTGAAGAAGAACTACCAGTGGCTGTTAAGAGAGCCGTGACTCTCTTACATTCATACACAGTCCCTAAACGTAAAGAGGATCCAGGTAAGAAAGATCTTTCAAGTCATGTAGCTTTATCCATGCATCACACTGGTTGCATGATGAGAAAATTAATTTCAACTTTGAAGTTGTCTTTTAGGCTTTTCTACATTTAAACCCATTCTGATATCAAGAACATTTTTAATTTCTTCCTTCCCTGTCCAGATGTTTCTTCCTTGTCAGCACCAGCATTCTCCTTTGTCTTCCCACTCATAAAAATGGTTCTGATGGAAACGACCAACGATTGTGAAGAAAAGGAGGAACTTCTGATTAAATCTCTGCAGATCCTTACCGTACATTCGCAGCTGAGATCCTCAAAGAACGAAACTGAACTTCTTGATGAGGTGAGTGTGAAGCATGGAGAGACCTGGAAACTTAATAAATCAATAACTAATATAATTTATTTGTTACACAAGCTGCAAGATGCACAGCTTTCACAGCACCTTTTTCAAAATGTTCTTTCTACAGAATGGGCCAGAGTTGCTTCCTCGCACAGATATGCTTCTCCTTCTAACAAGAATAATCGGGACAGCTTCCCCAAGATTACAAGTGCGTGCTGCTCCTTATTGTAAAAGGGAATTTATTAACTTTTGTTTTTTTTCAAGTTTCTAGCTCTGTTTGGATTACACAATTCTACCCATCATTATGCTCTTCACAGGTTCTAGCATCTAACACACTGACAACATTATGTACAAGCTGTGGGGGAGGTGAAGGGTGTACCTATGCCGAACAGGAGGAGATTGATGTTTTACTCCAGGCTTTACAGTCCTCCTGCTCAAATGTGCGGGATGCCTCTCTACGGGTGAGCCGATTCTCATTTCATTTAGCTTTTTATTCTTTTTAATAGTCATTTTCCTTTCATTCCTTTGATGTAAGCCCATGGTGATTACATCTTTTCATTATATTTTACTCCTGTGTGCAGGCTATTTAACTGATGTTTGTTTTTGTTAGGGACTGGTGGAGCTTGAGCTGGTTTTACCGACTCCAGACAGTGATGAGAAGAATGGGTTGAAGTTGCTGCACAGACTCTGGGTGATGAAGTTTGATGTGGAAGAAGAAATAAAAGCACAAGGTGAAAGGTGAGAAATCTGTCATGATCCTTGTTTTCGAATGTTGGTTTTACTTCTGATCACAAAAACCTCTGATTAGACTTCATTTAACACATATTTATATATTTTTTTCCAATAAAGATTTTGGGAGTCCATGGGCTTGGAGTTACAGCCTGAACTCTGCTCGCTGCTGATTGATGATGTTATTTATCACGAGGAAGCAGTGAGACAGGCTGGAGCAGAGGCCTTGTCACATGCAGTAGAGGAATATTGTGATCAGGCCACTGAGGTCATGAAGAAACTGATTGAATTATATCATGAGAAGCTCTATGTAAGTCCACAAAAAAAATTATTATATTAATTGGCTTCATCTGCCATGAGTGAGGTTTTTTCTAAGATCATGGATTTTGTGAGTGAACCCTCTCCATTAAGAAAATGAAGGGTTGTGTGCATGTACATAAGTGTTCAGGACTAAACATTGCCTTCGTCTTTTAAGTTTGTGTGCTAATGGAAGAGAAGCATTTGGTCAGTGAGTGTATTCACCACTTGCACAAAAAATAACTGTAATTGTAATCTTTGCACTTTTACAAAACATCTTTTTCATAAGTTTCCACTTTTTATTTCAGCGTCCACCTCCTATTCTAGATGCTTTAGGTCGAGTTATTTCCGAGTCTCCTCCTGATCAGTTTGAAGCTAGGTAAGTGTTTTTGTTTTGTTTTTACACCAGTGACCTAGTAGGACCTTTCGTTGACAATTCAAAGTAAATTAAACCATAATTCTTTGATGTAATGTGTCTATTGGTATTGAGGTATACTGAGGTTAAGATCTTTGTTTTCAGGTGTGGCATAGCTCTGGCACTAAACAAGCTGGCTCAGTATTTAGACAGCGCTGAGGTCACTCCACTCTTCCAGTTCTTTGTTCCTGATGCACTTAATGATCGAAACCCTGAAGTCAGAAAATGTATGTTAGATGCTGCTTTATCTGCACTAAATACACATGGAAAGGTCAGTATTAATGTTCAAATATGTAATCCATTTGTTGTACATTTTCTTTAGGCTTTGTGGTGGGATCAATGTTGATCTTCCCTCAAAATGTGGGTCACCTCAAAATGCATACAATGTTTTTTACAGCCTTAGTCTTCCCATTCAGGGTATTATTAAATCTTGTGTTGCAGGAGAGTGTAAATTCCTTATTACCAGTGTTTGAAGAATTCTTAAAGAATGCACCAAATGATGCCAATTATGATGCAGTGAGACAAAGTGTCGTCATTCTTATGGGATCGTTGGCAAAACACTTGGATAAAAGCGATCCGAAGGTTAAACCAATTGTTGCCAAACTGATTGCTGCGCTCTCTACCCCATCGCAGCAGGTGAGCCTTTTCAAACCTACAATGCATAATGTACAGGTGTAATTTCCATTTTATGAATGACATATCTCAATAACACTTGCCTGCTTTCTGAAAGGTTCAAGAATCGGTAGCTGGCTGCCTGCCACCTCTTGTGCCAGCCATTAAAGAAGATGCCGGTGGAATGATTCAGAAGCTCTTGGCCCTCCTTCTGGAATCTGATAAGTACGCAGAACGTAAAGGCGCAGCATATGGTTTGGCAGGGCTGGTTAAAGGCTTAGGAATCCTGTCCCTGAAGCAGCAGGATATGATGACCACGCTTACTGAAGCCATCCAAGACAAAAAGAATTTCCGACGCAGGGAGGGTATGTAGTATACGTTATTCACATTGCTTCAGGCTTGATTGTGGATAGATCTGTACAGCTGTTTCCCTTCTTCCAGGTGCTTTGTTTGCATTTGAGATGCTATGTAACATGCTCGGAAAGCTTTTTGAGCCCTATGTGGTCCATGTCTTACCTCACCTTCTGCTGTGCTTTGGAGATGGCAATCAGTATGTGAGAGAGGTTAGTAGAATACACAATGTTCCAGCTTTTCCTCCCACCAGTGTAGCATTAAATGGTTAATTCCATTGATATTTTTCCCAGGCAGCAGATGAATGTGCCAAGGCAGTTATGAGTAATTTGAGTGCCCACGGAGTGAAGCTTGTTCTTCCATCATTGCTGGTAGCTCTAGAAGAGGAATCTTGGAGAACCAAAGCTGGTATTTATATATCTGTCCTTTTCAGTAATGTGTCTTTGCCAGATTTAGTATCTACTGCCATCTGCTCTCTCTGAATATGTTTCTTTTTAATATGTCAAAGCTATGATTCACTGTAGCTGGCTTATGATGTTCTTCCCTAATGATGGTGCAGTCATTTTGTTATTGTAATGTGTTTCAAACAGGATCCATTGAATTATTGGGTGCCATGGCTTACTGTGCCCCGAAACAGCTGTCCTCTTGTCTCCCAAATATTGTGCCTAAGCTCACTGAAGTACTGACTGACTCCCATGTGAAAGTTCAGAAAGCTGGCCAACAGGCGCTACGCCAAATTGGTGCAGTAATCCGCAATCCAGAGATCTTGGGTGAGTTTTTCAGTTACTAGTTATAATAATGTGACTTTGCTAGAATCCATGTGCCACACAAACCCAGGTAATAAAAGCTGAATTTCTGTTCTGCCTTTAGCAATCTCTCCCATTTTGCTGGATGCTCTTACGGATCCATCAAGAATGACACAGAAGTGTCTGCAAACGCTGCTGGACACAAAGTTTGTGCATTTCATAGATGCTCCCTCTCTAGCCTTAATCATGCCCATTGTGCAAAGGGCTTTCCAGGACCGGTCCACTGATACTAGGAAAATGGCTGCTCAGATCATTGGAAACATGTACTCCCTCACAGACCAGAAGGTATGAATAATAAAAGAAGGTATATTCTATATATATATATATATATATATATATATATATAAATATAATATAATATAATTTTTTTTTATCTGTTTTTTTTTTTTTTTTTTTAAACATTTTGTTACTCAGTATAATGGTGGTGTATATAATATATAAATGGAATCTCAGGAAAGCAGTGTTGAGGAAGTATACATTTAAGTTCTGTTTAGATGCCATGCACTACATATTTGACATATCAAACCAAAATCTCTGGGTAAAGCTTCCTATGCTGCAGTGGATTTAAAATAAAAAAATAAATCGGTAATTTGTGCAGAACAAGTGTTTATATTCTGGTTTATTGGGGACAAATAGATGCATTTGCACATCTCTTTGAAGGACTTTTTGCTAAGCTGTAGAACTCTCCGATTTACATTATTTGTCAATTTCCCCAACATGTTTATGATCTTTACGGGGTACTGTTTTATTTTAATAAATAAGATATAGAAATAAATCACTGACACTAAAAATGGCCTGTCTTTTGGCAGTGTCTTTTTGTTTTGTTTGTTTGTTTCTGTACAGAGTGAACTGGTTTTGGCAAAATATTTACTATAAAACCCATTAATTTATTCCAGGACCTGGCCCCTTACCTTCCAAGTGTCGTGCCTGGACTTAAAGCTTCACTGACAGACCCTGTTCCTGAAGTAAGAATCCAATTTGTGCTGTTAGCTACATTTCATTTATAAGTTATTAGATTCCATAATTTACCAATGAATTACCTTTTTTAATTTTTTTTATTTTTTTTTTAATAGGTGCGGACTGTATCCGCAAAAGCTCTGGGGGCCATGGTAAAGGGGACAGGAGAATCCTGCTTCCAGGACTTATTGCCATGGCTTATGGACACATTAGCCTCTGACTGTAGCTCTGTGGATCGGTCTGGTGCTGCTCAAGGTAGAAACAATTACATTTTGTTTTGCATTAAAGTGAAAAGCTAGGAAAATAAGGTAACCTATTTCCCTTAATTCTCTATCGCTCAGGTCTGTCTGAAGTTATGGCTGGGTTAGGAGTTGAGAAACTGGATAAACTCATGCCAGAAATTGTAGCAACCGCAAGTAAAGTGGATATTGCTCCCAACGTGCGTGACGGTTATATTATGATGTTCATTTATCTGCCAATCACCTTTGGTGACAAATTTACTCCTTATGTTGGACCCATAATTCCATGCATTCTAAAAGTAAGTGTATAAAACAGCCTTCAATTATTATCGGACTAAAGTGGAGAGCGCTTTTTCCGATGTCCAAAGTTAATTTCTTTCCCTCTTTGCATGATTGTAGGCCCTAGCAGATGAAAATGAGTTTGTAAGAGATACAGCACTACGTGCAGGGCAAAGGATAATCACCATGTATGCAGAGACTGCCATTGCACTTCTTCTACCACAGCTTGAGCAAGGCCTGTTTGATGATCTTTGGAGAATACGGTAAAGTGCTTGATTTGGCGCTTATTATAATCCCATTCTCTATTGCACCTTAGCAGACGTGAATGTTGGTATTAATTATTATGTCTCTCTATGTGTAGGTTTAGCTCTGTGCAGCTCCTTGGAGATCTGCTGTTCCATATTTCAGGGGTCACTGGTAAAATGACAACAGAAACAGCTTCTGAAGATGACAACTTTGGAACTCTACAGTCCACCAAGGTGAATGCTGCTTTATATTTAATTTCAGATTTTACTTTGGTTTTATTTAAATCTAAGGGTGCCTTACCCTGAAGGGTTAATTAGTTGCTCTTTAGCGTCAAAAATATTTTTTGGCAGCAGGTTTTTTATATTGGCTTAAAGATGTCTGAAATACAGACATGAACTGTTCATCCGGCTTTGTTACGCAGGCATTTCTGTTAAGGGTGTAAGGGAAAATGCACCAATGATAATGCAGCAGATCCTTGAGTTACATGTATTTTTGTGTGGGTGTGCATGAAGGTATAATTAATTACATGTATATAGAACGGGAAAACACTTCGTAGGTAAACTACAGTCTCCAATATGGAATGTGAGTTATTTCTCCTGCTCAAAAACCTTTTCTGGGAATGATTACTTATTGCAGATCCACGCTGTTTCTACACCATGTACGCTTTGTTTCATTTCACGAACTGATGGCTCATGCTTTAGCTCACAGTTAGGCTTGTTGATTTCTTAATGGATACTAATGTCTCTTTCAACTCCTTGCTGTTTCAGGCGATCATATCTGCTCTGGGGCCTGAGAGAAGGAACAGAGTGTTAGCCGGTCTGTACATGGGACGCTCAGACACACAGCTCATGGTGCGACAGGCTTCTCTGCATGTTTGGAAGATTGTGGTTTCAAACACTCCTCGCACGCTGAGAGAAATTCTGCCGACTCTGTTTGCTCTACTTTTGGGCTTCCTGGCCAGCACGTGTTCAGATAAGAGGATAGTAAGTGGACTTCCTAATACTTTCCTTTTTAGTTGTTCTCTGATGCAGCACTCACTTCTTTTTCTTTTCCTAGATTGCTGCAAGAACACTTGGAGACCTTGTCAGGAAACTTGGGGAGAAAATCCTCCCTGAAATCATTCCGATTTTGGAAGAAAGTTTGAGATCTGATAAAAGTGATGAAAGGCAGGGTGTGTGCATTGGCCTTAGTGAAATCATGAAATCGACAAGTCGAGATGCGGTACGATACTGGAAGTGAAACTATGCATATTAAAGCCTACACCTTTTTGGCTATTTTATTTCAATCACCTTGTGTCTTCTATATTGATTTCTTTATTTAATTTTTATTTTGCAGATTCTCTTTTTCTCCGAGTCTCTTGTTCCCACTGTGAGGAAGGCCCTGTGTGACCCCCTAGAGAAAGTCAGAGAAGCTGCAGCCAAAACCTTTGAACAGCTGCATTCTACTGTTGGGTACCAGGCTCTTGAAGACATTCTGCCTTTCCTTCTTCTGCAGCTGGTAATTACATTAACAAGTGGGCAAGAAGCTGCCTCTACTGTTTTTTTTGGGGGGGGAAGTGGGAATTGTTACATTTGCTATGTATGCAAAGTAGGATTCCATTCTAATGTTTATCTGGAGTAACAATCCATATATAATGTATTTTATAGGATTTTTCAAAACATGGTCTCTTTATTCTGAAGGTAGCATTGTCACTTTTAGAGTCTGTTTATTTGGCTAAGAGAAGCGAATGGAATTTTAACTACAATAAAAGTAGGCAACCTTCTGCACTCTAGGTGTAATGGACTACATATCCCTTAATTCTCTGACAGCCATAAAGGGGAGTTGTGTTCAATAACATCTGGACTGCCAAAGTTTGCCTACCCCTACCCTAGATAGTAAACTATCTAGGGTAGAGGACCGTGACGAAGCTGGACCTTCTTCACCCTTTTTGTCTCTTAACATCTCTTAAATAATCCATTGAACAATTGTAAATGTATATTTGTATGATATATGTATTTAATAAGGTTTAAAAAAAATAAATATATAAAATAAAGATTAAATATTCAAAAAAAAATAATAATAATCCATTGAACAATTGATAAGCTTAAAGTAAGATTGTGGCACTATATAAATAAAAATAATATGCTTGAGTACTGCCATCTTTTTTAGAGGTCAGTCTTCAGCTCTTCGAGCTCAGTCTACCAACAACCAGTGTTGTAGGTCTATGGAATGTCTTATGAGAAGATGTGTTTTTCCCCATAGTCGTCACTAGTGATGGCTGTTAGGAAAAGAGTTGAAGGTGGAAACTCCATGATTGGTTAGCTTTTTTTTTTTTTTTTTTCTCAACCATGGCAGTGGTACACAAGACAAAGTAGTCCATACATCAGCTTCTGGTAGTTTTTCAATGTGCTGGAGTTTCATTGAACTCTGTCTAATGTTTTATTTAAAAAAAAAAAATTTGCGCACTAATTTTAAAATATATATTTATTTTTATTCAAGGTTGTATTGTAAAACAATTACATTGTGTCACATGTAGTTGGGGCAACATGCCCGCAGATGGATATCTTCACATCAGCAAGTGTTATATACAGGGTAGACTTATAACATGACATCAACATACAAGAAGTGAATGTTACAAGATTGTTTTTATCCTAAATGCCAAATGTGCCATACTGCACAAGCCTGACCATAACATCTTGTGTCTCCTCCATTCCCTTCCTGTTGCCATCCCATCATTGCAATAGTGCTCGATATACTAATCTAATCCCGTCTAATTGTCTAGTTACTGTGGTGTTTTTTTTTTTGTCATGTTCTGTGTGTGCATTTTCAGTCTCTTCCATTTGGTTTAGAAACTGACTAGTAGGCAGCGTCTCCCCTATCCCTCCCTCCCCCCGACCGCACTCAATGGCCCCCTCCCCGGTACCCCACGTGTTCCCGGGACTTATAGGAAGAAGCCGCAATGCCAAGCTGGCTGGGCCCCCTCCACCCCGACCCACTCCCCGAGGGGGTGGAAGCAGAGGTTGGCGGTCAGTGGGATCGGAAGCAGGAAGCAAGGGAAAGAGGGGGTAGTAGAAGAGAAAGAGAAGGCGAAAAAAAAAAATCTAGGGGGTACAAAGAAAGAAAGAAAGAAAAGGGGGTATGTAGATTTTGGGAGGTAGAGAGAGTGTACAGTAATAGCGCCCTCATCAGGGCTGTCACCCCGCTCTGTCTTACTCCCCCCTTGCTGAGCAAGATAGCAACATTGGCAGAATGAGGTATTCGACATCTAGTCTCAATTGTTGCCCTCTGGACTGTTGTTTTGGCTCTTTGGATAGCCGTTCTGTCCAGTGATACCAAAGCCCATGGTATAGTTGGGCCTTTCCAGCCGACTTGAGAATGAGCTCCTCAATCCCTAATATCTCCTCCACTTGCTGTATCTAGTCTATAGTGGAAGGGGGACCATCTTCTGTTTCCAGTGGCAGGGTATAAGGCTGTGTGTCGCATTGATCAAGTGAGGTATCACGGTCTTCTTGTATCTCATGATTGGCATTGGGGTAGTGTGCAGTAGGTAAGCCTCCGGAGAGAGTAAGTCTAATATGACTGCGATTTAAAAATTGGCAGTGTTTAGAAGACACAAATTATTTTTTTCCCCTGTAGAGACTGCACATTAGAACATGTAGTTAGGCACTGATTGTGCAGAAACTATTGCTGGCAATGCCAAATCATTAACAGCCACTGCTGGCAGCAAATGCCATAATATAGTAAGAGTACACCTTGTCTTTTGTCCTTTTAATCCAACATATTTATCATTCGCATATACGGATTCCTAAGAAATGTTCTTTTGGGGTTTTTTTGATAATTTTTTTTTTTTTTTTTTATCAATAATTATAAAAGCAGCTGGAATAATTTGCACTTAGTTAGAAGTCACTCAGTCCTATGGGGAACTGAGCCAACAGAATACACTTAAAAAGAAAGAGTACTGCACTCAGAAAATAGAGCTCCTGATCATCACAAGGTTGCAAGGTTTTAATTTAAAGGACCACTCCACACCCATAAAGCCCTGCAGTTTGCTGACGTTCTTTATGGGTGAGGAGTATCCCATAATAATGACCGTTTCTATTAGAATAAAGCACTTCTATAAATAATTCATGGAACCCCTCTGAGGAGTTAATGGAAGCAGTAACAAATCCTCCTGTTTGTTTGACATCCAAGGACGTTTCTGCCAGCTTCCAATGGCTCCCCTGAGCTAACGGAAGTTGCAGGTGCATTACTTGAAATTTGCTTTCCTCCGACCAGCGTCCAGACCTCACATCAGTATGCTGCTTGCCCACATGCACTGAAGAAGCCCTTCTGATTTTCCCTGAAAACAGACTTTGTCTCTTCTGGAGGAAAAGGGGAGGACTTGCAAACGTGTCAGTTCACAAGAACTGCTGTTTTTGAAACTGTTTTAAGATGTATCCCCAATGAATACATGCGCGTATCTACTAAACAGTTATTTTAATAATTGTTTTCTTATATGGACATTCGATTGTTCCTTTAGCTTAATGTTTGCACACTAAATTCAGGTAACCAATCGATCTACATATGTCTCCCCAGGATGATGAAGAAATGTCAGAGTTTGCCCTTGATGGGCTGAAGCAGGTTATGGCAGTGAAGAGTCGAGTTGTGCTTCCTTATCTGGTGCCTAAGGTATGTTTAGTTACGATTGAGACTGCGCTTTAGTTAGCAGCTGATGACCTACCTATCCCAGTAGGGACATTTCGATTATTTCTACCCTGTTTTACCCTTTGCAGCTGATCAGCCCTCCTGTAAACACCCGTGTTCTGGCCTTCCTTTCATCAGTAGCTGGGGATGCTCTGACTAGACACTTGAATGTTATCCTTCCCGCTCTCATGTCTGCTTTGAAAGCACATTTAGGAACAGATGATGAGCAGGCGGTAAGCAAATGTGACTTTGATGTGCACTGTTTTCTTAAATGCGAGTTTGTTAATCCAGAGGTTTAGACAGAACAAAAATCACTGCTCTGTACAGTTTTCTCATTTAAATTGAACCAGAATGACCTGTCATTGTGTATTTTATTTTCTACAAAGCCTTGTCTGTTCGAAAGAAAACAGAATTCTGGGAATAAAAGATTCATAAAATAGTGGCTACAATTTACTTTACAAGAAATCTACCTCTTTGCTGGGCTAATGCAAAGAAGCATTTTACTACTTAACTCTTTTTAGGGCAAAGTTAATACAAACTTTATTGGCAAGTCCTTAACCCTTTTATTTTCTTCTACTGAACATGTGTAAAAAATAAACTAATCGTGACATTGTTCACTGCCTATTATCAGCCACAGATGATATTTTAGTGTTTTAGAACTGGTTATTTATCATGTATTCCTATAACTAAAAGGTAGTACTAAAGTTCCTTTGGTGCATTTCCTTAAGGCTGTAAAATCAACGTGGAAGTTGTAATTCTGCAGCATCTTGTGGTGTGCATTTTGGCCTCAACTGCCTTTTATATTTTTCAAATTTATTTGCAACTGCGATTTATCAGTGTTTAAGTTTGACACACTATCCCAGTCCAACACCAAGTTGTGCTTAGTGTACTTTACACTCCAAAACCCTTTCTCTTGTGGCACTACACTTTTTTTCTCTGCAATGGGTTCCTGTTTTTTTACATTTGCAAATGTCCATCTTTGTTGCAGGAGCTGGCAAATTGCCAGGCTGTCATCCTGTCCGTGGAAGATGATGTCGGTCAGAGAATTGTGATTGAGGATTTGCTGGAGGCCACTCGCAGTCCTGATGTAGGCATGCGACAGGCAGCTGCAATTATACTGAATATGTACTGTGCAAAGACAAAGGCTGATTACACCCCACACCTAAGGAGCCTGGTTTCTGGACTGCTTCGACTCTTCAACGACAATAATAGTGTGGTTCTAAATGAAAGCTGGGATGCCCTTAATTCCATTACCAAAGTAAGTATTGTAGTTCATAGAAGTCCTGCCATCCCTGGCATTCATTTTTACAACCATCCACTGTGTTTTCTGACAAGGGATGCTTTGTATTACTGCTCTCCCCTTCTCATGCCTGGCACACCCTATAATATGTGTGTAGTAACAAGTCGGTTGTCTGAAGTAGGATGAAACTAATAGGACATTTTATCCAAGTCTGACACCATCACGTGAGTGTCAAACTCTGTTTCCTTTCGCCCCGTCTGTGGTATAAATGCATTGGATCACACAGCAAATAAGTGACAGATCTGCCATTGCTGGTGTTATTTCCCTTCACAGTGATTATAGGTGAACACTACACGAGATAAGAAATATGGCATGTAACAAAATCATGACAAAACTCCCCACAGTGCAAATACAAAAATTACTGTAATGTTCATATCTCAAGCTGGACTTTGAAAAATCCTTATTGAGCAAATTAACTTGAGAAATCACGTTTCCACAACTACCCCAGAGTTCACAGCTTGACATGCAAATGAGCTCAGGCAGGTTAAGGGTGTCTGCAGAAGTCCAGTATGAAGTCTGGGTTAGTTGTGGATTTCTCAAGTTCCTATGCTCAAGAAGGACTTGGCAAAATCCAGTGTGAAATATGCAGTGATGCATAATAGTATGTGTGTGTGTGTACATTAGCAGATGCATGCGCACGTAATGCAGAATTTTGCTCTACTGCTCTTTTTAAACTATAGCACCTAAAATTGTAAATACAACATTGCAAAAATAAATGAAACTGTATAACTAATGAAACATATGAAAACAGAATCTAAAGCCTGATCTAAATGCAACATTTTCCTTGCTCCTCTGAGTGCTTTCAGTTGCGCTGTTGTATGTGTGATTAATTGATCACAACTGTTAGAATATTGAGAGGTATATACAAGTACATTTGGTGCTTGGATTGAGGGTTCCGTGCTGATGTAAGGCAGCTAGGTCTGTTTACATAATTTATTAATAGCTGCTGTAATATTTATTTTTTTTAAATGTTTTTTTCAATTCAAGTCGTTAAAAAATTGGAAAGTATGGTTTGTAACTGAAATTCTATGTTTGTGTAGAAACTGGATGCTGGAAGCCAGTTGATGTTGATTGATGACTTGCACAGAGATATCCGTATGGTGGGGAATGACGCGAAAGGAGAGCATGTTCCCGGGTTCTGTATTCCAAAGAAGGTAATTAAATAACACACAGTGCCCCACAAATCCTAGGCTCATAAGTTCAACCCAACAATGGGATCTGGTTTTTAGAATTCTTTCTTTCTCTCTGTTCAATTAGTGGCTGATGGAACAGCTGCTCCAGACCCAAAACACACAAGATGCTCATGAGAGGACAGTTGGGGGGAAAAACCAAAACATTTTAGCATCTCATAAACTTAAAAAAATGCATGCAGTGGTAGTGCTAGAATGTGAATTTAAAATGTAGTGTGCTGCTTTACAGCTTCCTGCAGTGTTTAAGGTGCTTCACCATTGTGCTGTCTTAGTATTTGCACCCACAATCAAAATGAATTCCCCTGCTCGCAAACTCCCACTACATTGTGGCCGCAATGATTATAGTGCACATCAGCGTCAAATACATATAATAGAGAAAAAAAAAATGTAAAAAGCTTTATGTGCACTATCCCAAATCCGTATGCACATTTAAATAACTGGAGATTTTTAGTATGGCCACTAAAGTCAAGGCAAAACTCAACAGGTGAGTCCTACGCGAACAATTCACCTGAGACAGAGAGAGGTGTTTTTCTGAACCCCTTAACACTTAGCACTGTAACATAGCTGTGTAATGCCAAAAGCAAATCCAAACATACAGAATTAAGCCCTGCTTTCAAATTCCCACTACTCCTGGGCAGCAGGAGTGCTACTCATACCATTCAAGTCATATTCTCCCCAACTTGCAGCCATTTTGGAGGAGCTCACATGTTCACAGCTTCAACGCAATGTTACATTTTCTATTCATATTTACTATTTAGAAATTATCTAAATTTTTATTTCTTTATTTTGTTAGTATTTTAATATCTTATTATTGTTACGGAACACTCTATGCAACATAACCAATACAGCCAACTATTCGTGTAGTATCTCTAGTGCCAGAGTGTTTGGTGCCCTCCCACAGTAATTAGTCAAACTGTTTGACAACGTACCTGGGTCCTAACAGACTCTTTGGGCAATTAATGCGACCCTGTATGGCCACGCTTCACTCAGCCACAGGACCCAGGTAAGTTTCATGGGTGCAGCAGGACCCAGGAAGTTGGCAAACCATTCTTAAACAGTTTGGCTACTAATGCTGGGAGGGCACAGGGTACTTGGCAAACATAGAGCTGTAGAGGTTATGGTCTTTGGAGTGGTCCTTTAATAATTTATTTAAATAAAAATGGAAATTAGAAACTTAGCTGGTTGGTTTAAGTTCATCTGCTAAATTTACGTTTGGTTATATTCTGTAACATTTTTAAAACTAACCCATGAACAATTAAAATTTTGCCTTTCAAGAAAGTTTTTTTTTTTTTTTTTTTCTTCAAATCCTGGAACAATCTCCAATCATGGAGGGACACTTTAACAAACTTGTGTTTTAAGTGCTGTGTTGAACTTCCATTATAGGGGGTGACCTCCATTTTGCCAGTACTGAGGGAAGGAGTACTTACAGGAAGTCCGGAACAGAAAGAAGAGGCAGCTAAAGCTTTAGGTCTGGTGATTCAGTTAACGTCTGCCGAAGCTTTAAAGCCTTCAGTAATTAATATCACAGGACCTTTAATCCGTATACTGGGAGACCGCTTCAATTGGACTGTGAAAGTGGCCCTGCTTGAAACCCTGAGCCTCCTCCTAGGAAAGGTAAAGTGAGACATGCACACAGCAGCCTGGTAAATACTGGTATTCTTGAATGTTTTTCATATATGTGAATCAATATGGTGACGATTAACAAGCAGCGTGTTAAGGACTGTGTCACAGCCACCATTCATTAGAATTGAATCTGCTTGCTCATTATAAGAAGTGTAATGCTGTACAGGATAGACCGGGGAAGAGCAAAAAGGAAAGATGTAATTCCTCTTATACAGTCACAAAATCACTGGGTAAATACAATACAAATACAATGGGTCAAAAGATATGCGGCTACATCTTTTTTTTATGCATATAGAGGAACATATGTTGTTGTAGTTGCTGCTAATAATGTGACTAGGTGCTTTAATATCCTGTATTATTTTATGTGCAGTGAAAATACTACTTTTTTATGGCTATTATATCCAAACTTATATAATTTTTTTGTTTTGTTTACTATCTGTTGATTTATTTCAAACATTTAGCCTGATTTGTTTTTGTTTTTATACCCCCACTTCAGGTTCATATTGCTTTAAAACCTTTCCTTCCACAACTACAAACCACATTTACAAAAGCCCTGCAGGATTCTAACCGTGCTGTACGTTTAAAGGCAGCCGATGCCTTGGGTAAACTCATCGTTATCCACACTAAAGTTGACCCACTCTTCACAGAATTGCTGAACAATATCCGCACGTGCGAAGATTCTGGAGTCAGGTACTTTTTAGTTCTGTCCCACCAACCAAAGTACCTACTGATCTTTTTAAATAACTTGCCGTTACCCATATAATGATTGCTGTGTACACTTGCAGGGAAACCATGCTTCAAGCTGTTAGATTCCTTATTCAGGGTGGAGGAGGAAAGATGGACGCAACAATCCGGAAGAATTTTGTCACGTTGTTGATTCAGATGCTGGGACATGATGAGGTATTTCTTTGTGATTACTGTATATACTCTCGTATAAGTCGAGACCCCTAATTTTACCCCCCAAAACTGGGAAAACTTATTGACTCGAGTATAAGACTAGGGTGGGAAATGCAGCAGCTACTGGTAAATTTCTAAATAAAATTAGATCCCAAAAAAATTACATTAATTGAATATTTATTTTGTATATATAATGAATATCGCGTTTGTGTGTGTGTATAAATGCAGTGTGTGTGTGAATGAAGTGTGTGTAACCTTGGTGGGGGGGTAGGCATTTTTATTATTTTTTTTAATATTATTATTTTAATTTTTTTTTTTTTTTTTTTTTTTTTTTTTTTTTTTTTTTTTATTTTAATTTTTTTTAAATTATATTATTATTTAAATTTGTATTTATATTTTTTGTCCCCCCGCCCTGCTTGATACATGGCCAGGGAGGGGGCTCTCATTCCCTGGTGGTCCAGTGGCATAGGCTGTGTAGGAGGGGGCTGGCAGAGAGCTGTTACTTACCTTTCCTGCAGCTCCTGTCAGCTACCTTCACCTTCGTGCCAGTCAGCTCCCTTCTCCTCCACTGTAAGTCTTGCAGTCTGAGTGCCACGCGGAGCATTGCCACGGGTTACCTCTTACCCCACGGCTCTCGCGAGACTTACAGTGGAGGAGAAGGGAGCTGACCGGCACGGAGGTGAAGGGAGCTGATAGGAGCTGCAGGAAAGGTAAGTAAATGCTTCCTGCCAGCCCCCAACAGGACCGCCGGGCTTGTAATGAGCCCGGCGGTCCTGGTCGGTATTATGGCAATGTAAGTTGCCGTAATACAGATAGTGACTCGAGTATAAGACGAGTGGGTTTTTTTCAGCACAAAAAATGTGCCGAAAAACTCGTCTTATACTCGAGTATATACGGTACTTGGTTTGCTCTTTAGGTCTAGGGGACTCTTATGGAAATAACATTTGAACAACACAAACACAATGAAGACATGGAATTCCAGTTAACATGGGTTTCCTTGGGCACAGAGGAACATCTGCATCTTTTACATAGCTGGGAGTATCTATTTCTGTTCTTAGCACCTTGGATGCAGGGAGCTAACCAGTTTAGGTGTGATCCTGGTTTGCCAGTGGCATTAGAAAAGACTCTTAAAATCATTTTTCACCTAGTACTTTTCAAAGGGAGTTTAAAAATGCTGAAGTGATTCCATGATAACCAACTTCACATAGTCAGACCTTCAACTGATAGTTACTAATAATTTGCCACTGGCTGGTTAAATTTAAAAAAAATGTTTTTTTTTTTTTGTTTTGTTTTTTTATTCTTTATTTTTGAATGGGCAATTAGTTGGAGAGACAGATAACATACATTTCATTTTGTACATCAGGCGTTAAAGAGACAAAAAGTATATCTATGACATATTGTGCACAGTGTTGCAAATACTTTGTGTAAACAGTTAACATAAGATGCTAAAAAATAAACTTCCTTTTTAAAAATAATCCGGTAACAGCCGCCATCGACACTCCAAAAGCCTGTTTCCATTCACACAGTTTTACTAATGTTGGGTGTTCACGTTTTTAGCATTTACATTCCCCCCCCCCCACACTTTGTTTCTTTCAGGATGCTACACGCATGGCTTCTGCTGGCTGCCTTGGGGAACTCTGTGCCTGTCTTCCTGAAGAAGAACTCAATGCACTCCTAGAGCTGCATCTGCTGGGTCTGTCTTATCAATTAATTCTATTTATTTTGTGTGTTACTTGTTCATCTTTAAAGGTAGCCTGACATTTTACTAGTTATGAAAATGTATTTGAAATTAAGGGATTAAGGTTTTTTACTATATTGTAATCTATAGAATACCCCCCTTTTTTTTTTTTTTTACATAGTAGTATAGGCAGATAATGTTTATTTATGAGTCAAGCTATAAATATGCATCTTTCCATGGATGAACAGGGTTGGTCAAAATTCAGAGTGCTGTTTGAGGAGTCAATATCTTTTTATTTTTTATTAATGAACCAATTTCAATGATATTGCATACCATGAGTGTGTAACGTAAGGAGATTTAGTTTGACTAGATACAGAAGAGTATCTTTTAACGGAGCTCTATCTGCCACTTTGAAAAGTCAGGCTCTTTTGATTAAATTGTTCATAACCTCAGTTAAGGTTTGAGGCTCTAGCACTTGAATTTCTGCACGGATACTCTCCTTGAGCTGCTCAAGTGTACGCAGTTTGTTCGCGTTCACCTGCTCCTTCAGATTTCTCCACAGGAAGTATTCAGGAGCTGAAACGGGCGAACGTGGCGGACAGTTAATCTGTGAATTTCTTGAAATTATCCGCTCGCTGAACAGTTGTCATTTTGAAAATAAAATTCCACTATTTTTACTTGTTGTTCCCTTGTGAAATGATAATGCTCCCAAGATTCGGTTATAATCTGTACCTGCAATAAAAAAAAAAATAGAACTACTAACAAATAAGTTATTTACCTGTCAAATCCTACTCTGAATTTTTGTCCATCCTGTATTTAATCAGTACATGTCTTAGTTAAAACATGAAATGCCACTATAATTCCTTTATTAATAATTAAGAATAAATTCAATTTATGTGTTTGACTTACAGAAAGTTCAGTAGTGTTCCTTTACTGGTCTGTTTATATGCTTTCGTAAAGTGATGTATTTTAATGCTTTCTTAAACAGTTGAAACGTAGGAAAAGCTTAATGAACTGGAGGGGGGATAGGAATTCCAAAATAAAAGGGCAACCTTAGCGATGTCTTCAAAACAGGATTTGACGGTGCGGGTGGGTACAGAGTGAAGGTGTATGCCATCGGCAGAGCAGAGTGGTTGGAATGAGATATTTATCAGGGTGGATATGTAGGTTGTACTTTATAGGTAATGGATTTTGAATTGATTTCAAGAATGTTTCAGTCTACAATATGACCTTTTCAGCGTCACTCTATAGTAGAAAAGTTAAGGAGTATACTTTTCTTTATAGTGAGTGTTGGTAGATACATACACTATAAAGGCATTCTCTCTCTTCTTCTGTTTAAATGTTTTGCTATTGATAGTTTTCTTTGTATTAGTCTATTGGATTAATGTTCTTGCTGTTTATCATTCACAGCTGATTTTACCGGAATCGACTGGATGGTCAGGCATGGGAGAAGCTTGGCACTCTCGGTAGCTATAAATGTGGCCTCCTCCAAGTTCTGCACTCCCAAGTTTTCCAGTAATCTTGAGTCTGTGGTAATCAGCCATGCTACAGCAGACAGGGTAAGATTCAAAACTGCGTGGCTGGGAATGTCAAATTAATTTGTAAGGGCTTTTTTTTACATATTTCACAGTTTAATCTCTTACAATGTTTAAATTACACAATGTTTAATTTACTCTAGTACTTCATTGTTAATAGGGTGTGTGTTCTAGAGGAAAAAACCATGTTCATTGCTAATGAAATAATGTTCCGCAGATCCCAATAGCTATGAGTGGCATAAGAGCGCTGGGATATCTGATGAAATATTACATTGAGGCAGAAGGTGGGACTCTACCTCCAAAACTGACAACTCTCCTTATAAAGGTAGGCGTGAAAACTGTTTATATCTGGCACCTGTAGTTCATTTAGCATTGTTGGATTAAATTCTTTATAATGGCACCATAACCTCTTCAGTGGGCTATAGTGATTCTGAGAATTGAAGTGTTCCTTTAAATTATCATTATTATGTATCTAATGTTTTCCTATTCTGAATTCCTGACAGTGTCTCCAGAATCCGTCAAGTGATATCAAACTTGTGGCTGAGAAGATGATCTGGTGGGCAAACAAAGATCATTTGCCACCAATGGACCCACAGACCATCAAACCACTACTTAAGGCGCTTTTAGACAATACAAAGGACAAAAATACAAGTGTTCGAGCGTACAGTGATCAGGCTATAGTGAACCTTTTAAAAATGAGGACAAACAATGACCTCTTTCAGGTATGTGTATAGGACATGAGGAACCTATGTTGTAGCGCATATCCGCATTTCACGTGAACAGACAGGGAATGTGGGCTGTCATGTAAATATGATCTGGTAGCATAGATAAAATGCATTTAAATAAAATATTAGGTAATATGTATGAGCGGTTACAAGCAAGTATGTGACCGCTGCACTAGACTTCCAGTTTACCAAGGATCCACCAAGATTAATCGGTTAAAAATTATATAATTTCATATTTGGGCCAATGAAAGGGTCATAGAGAACATTGCCTTTAATTTGAATTATAAATATGTCTGCATCTATTGGCTTGTTTTATTATGTTATTAGTTTTCTCTTTGGCTCCATCATACACCACTAATATAGTTTTATCTTGTGCTCTCAGAGTATTATGAAGATACTGGATGCGGCTAGTATAGAAATGTTGAATGAAAGCTGCCGTCGCTCTTTAAAGAAGCTTGCATCTCAGGCTGATTCCAGCGAACAGATTGATGAAACTATTTTGACGTGATAAGGAACCTTTGCTGACAATTCACCTCTGATCATCGATGGTTTTTGCTTTTGAAAATGCACTAATTGGGTAGTGCATTACAGTCTGAAAGATATTGGTTTTTTTGGGTTTTAAATTAAAAAAAAAAATCTGTTAGTCAATTTCTATAAATCTTGCTCAGAAACACCTAAAACGTTTCTTCTGTGTATCATGAGTTATTTTTTTTTTCTCTCCAAATTCACATACCAAGTAAAATATCTTTTAAAGGAAAATGAATGATATACTAAAAACAAGCTGCTTATGATCAACAATTCAACAATAAAAAAACAACAACCCTACCAACTCAATTACACATGGTTTGCAGGTTCATGATTTGAATATACATATACAGGACATGTTTGTGTTGAATTTTACAAAAGTACAAACCATTTCTTTTTCACTGCAGCGGTAAAAAGTATTCGGTAAAAATTACTTCTACGTTCTAAAGGTAATGTGTTCAAGAAAGTAAACAAAAACCCTAAAAAAAAAAAGATACTTTTCATTTTATTCTTGGTTCACTGTTCAGTGGCAGGCACACCTCCATACCATACCTGATGTATATAAAAAAAAATATATACAGAAAATGGGTTAATGGTATAAGTAGTTGATCCTTGAGCAGGTTCACTCATTTAATTAGGATGAGTGAAACTGCTCTGTAAATAGATATCTGCTGTATATACATAGCTCAGTTCACTTTGTTGTGAAATTACATTTATGAATCACTACTGGCGGAGCCACAGTCCAGAGCTCGCTCTCTCAGTAGTAGGGCGATTTCAGTCAATAAAAGCAGTTCACGTTTTTCGCTGCACTTGTAAATTGCCCTGGGATGGAAGATCGGGTGCAGGATTCTCTCTACATAACTCTTGCAATGATACAAAGTTGTTAAAGTGCTTAAAGTGATCTGTAATCCAAAGATTGTTACTTTAAACTTAAAGTTTGAGATATCTCTGCAATTAGGGTTTTGGGTGTCAACCTTAAATATTATCCCTTTAAAGGGACACTATAGTCACCTGAACAACTTTAGCTTAATGAAGCAATTTTGGTGTATAGAACATGCCCCTGCAGCCTCACTGCTCAATCCTCTGCCATTTAGGAGTTAAATCCCTTTGTTTATGAATCCTAGTCACACCTCCCTGCATGTGACTTGCACAGCCTTCAATAAACGCTTCCTGTAAAGAGAGCCCTATTTAGGCTTTCTTTATTGCAAGTTCTGTTTAATTAAGATTTTCTTATCTCCTGCTATGTTAATAGCTTGCTAGACCCTGCAAGAGCCTCCTGTATGTGATTAAAGTTCAATTTAGAGATTGAGATACAATTATTAAAGGTAAATTACATCTGTTTGAAAGTGAAACCAGTTTTTTTTTTTTCTTTTCATGCAGGCTCTGTCAATCATAGCCAGGGGAGGTGAGGCTAGGGCTGCATAAACAGAAACAAAGTGATTTAACTCCTAAATGACAGTGAAATTGCAGGGGAGTGATCTATACACTAAAACTGCTTTATTTAGCTAAAGTAATTTAGGTGACTATAGTGTTCCTTTAAAGGACCACTATAGTGCCAGGAAAACATACTCGTCCCCCTCCCGCTGGGCTCTAGGGTGAGGAAGGGGTTAAACTTACCTCTTTCTCCAGCGCCGGGCGGGGAGCACTCCGCCTCCTCTCCTCCTCCTCGGCTGAATGCGCATTCAGCCAGTCCATAGGAAAGCATTCACAATGCTTTCTTATGGACGCTGGTGTCTTCTCACTGTGAAAATCACAGTGAGAAGAGCGGAAGCCCTATAGCGGCTGTCAATGAGACAGCCACTAGAGGCTGGATTAACCCTAATATAAACATAGCAGTTTCTCTGAAACTGCTATGTTTATAGAAAAAAGGGGTTAACCCTAGCTGGACCTGGCACCCAGACCACTTCATTAAGCTTAAGTGGTCTGCGTGCCTATAGTGGTCCTTTAAGTTTTACAAACAGGATTACACACCCGTATTACGTACTTTAAAACAGGATTGCAAACATATCAGGCTGATAGTGTACTATACAAAGCAGAGAATTGACTGATTACACTTGGCAAAGATTTCCACTACAGTCTCCGTCTTCAATATTTTTCTTACAATTATGATGTTTGATGTCTGTTCTAGCACTATCTTTATGTTAAAGACTAGCTCCTAACGTATGCTGCTTTGGCTGAAAAGGTACAGTTAAAGGAATATTCTAATCATCATAGTGGTTATGGTTTCAGGAATACCCTGGTGCTGTCTCATGGTAAGCTGTCATACAGTTAATGAACAGTTTAACACTACATGGGCTTGTTAAAGGTGTCTTTTATCCTCCTTGTCTTCAGTGATATGCAAAAATGGTAGTTCAGATTTCATTAGCATATCAATTTAGGTCATTATCTATTGGTTAAAAGTAAGTTTTTGCATTAGGGATTTTGTTGCTTAAGGTAGGGGTTTTCAAGCTCATTTGTTTTCAAGGGACAATTGTATAAATATATTCATAAACAAGAAGGGACAAACCAAGGACTTCAAGTGCTCATTCTTATAACACATGGGTAAAACAGTAGTAATGTGTGCAAAACCCGTTTGAGAATGTTAGTGTTTCACAAGTATGTGTGAATGTTTTGGTGTTCCTGTGTATGCAAGGTCAGTAGTTGTCTAAACACTGCCCGTGCATGGATAATTGGTGCTCTCCGTGTTTGTGCAAACATTGTTGGTGTTCCTGTGTATTTGTAGCAGTATTGATGTGTATGTCACCTGCCCACTTCACTTCCTGTACCATGGCTGAGCAAACTATGCAGCACTTCTCGTTGTCTCTGAGTGGATGAGGCAGTGCATAAGATTACATTAAATTCTTCTATTTCACTATACTAAGGCTTGTCAGGTGGAGTTTTAAACTAAACAAACACAAGTGCTCTGCTGGAAGCTTAGCCATGTTACAACATAAACCTATGGGTGCCAGGAGTTCTGGTTCGTTGTGAATTACTTTGAACTCCCGGGCTGAATGTATGGCAGCTATGGTTTAGAGCATCTGTTTGTATTACAAAGATTACTTTTTATATTTACATCTTGTTCTGTTGCCAGAAGTCCATATAGGAAAACTACTGTAATGCCAATCCAAGTTATATTGTTTGCTCTGAATGGTTTAGAGGGTTACTCCAACCATTATGACCACTTCTGCTTTTATTAGTGTTGCAAGTAATCTATAGGTGCATTGTCTCAGCTTGAAACACTACCTTTGTCATGGGCGTCTGCAGGAATTTTTCCAGGGGGGGGGGGGCATAATTGTAATGACATCCATGCTTGGTACCTTTTTGACAGTGTCATGAAAGGGAAGGGGCATAGCCATTGTCTCACAAAGCCAGGGTGAATAGCGTTTTCACAACTATGGTGTCAGGAATATATGTTTGTATTCCTGACACTAGTGTTCCTTTAAGCAAATTAAAGGACCATTCTGGTCACCATAATAACTTCAGCTAAATGAAAATGCTATGATGCCAGGAAGCCCCTGGGTGCTCTTTCCTTTAAGGGATTAAAACGCTCTCAAATGGTTTAACCCCAAAGGCTTCCTCCAGCTCCAGGTCGCTCAGTGGTATTCGGCTTCTGAAACAGAGTGTCAGGAAGTGCAGACTGACGTCAGGCATGGGTGCTGCTGATTGGCTAGAGTGGACAGTTGACGCTCTAAGCCAATCGCTAGTTCCCGGTTCATAAAATATTTTTACTTTTTTATGAATGGGAAGCTACTGATTGGCTTAGAGTGCCAGCTCACCGCTCTAGCCAATCAGCAACACTACCCAACGGCACTCTTTGCTTCCTGACACTCAGTAAATAAAAGTGAACACATTAATACTGATATTTTTTTACCTTTGGAGATGAGAAGGTCCAGCGTTTCCCTGCCTGGCCCAGGTACCAAAGCCTTATGATATGGTGTCCAGAATAAAGTGGAGGGTTCACTTCATTTGTTCTTCCTGCTCCAATCTCCTTTTCCTCTCCTTCATTTGGCAGTCTTTTTTTTTTCTTCTGACACTGTTTTCTATCCTTGGCCCCTTCTGCTCTTTTACCTTTCTGCTTATTTAGCGCCCTTCTGCTCTTTTCTCATTCTGATCCCTTTCTGCTCCTTGCAGACCCTTTCTGCTCCCTTTTCTACTTTACCTTTGTGCTCCTTCTGATTCTTTCTGCTCCTTTACCTTTGAGCTCCTTCCTGCTCCTTTCAGGCCCTTCCTGCTCATTCTCCTATTTTACCTTTGTGCTCCTTCTGCCCCTTCCAGCTCATTTCTGACCCTTTCTGCTCCTTCTACTTTACCTTTGTGCTGCTTTACCTTCCAGCTCCTTGCTGACCCTTCCTGTTCATTTCTGTTCCTTTGTGCTCCTTCTCCTACTTTACCTTTTGTGCTCCTTGCTGTCCCTTCCAGCTCCTTGATGTCCCTTCCTGCTCATTTCTGTTCCTTCTCCTTTTCTTACTTTACCTTCTTGCTCCTTGTTGACTCTTCATGTAGGCTGTCTCCCCCATCCCTCACTTCCATAGGCGTGCGCACGGGGTGTGTCGGTTGTGCCTGGGCCAAGAAATCCCGATAGATACCCCGGGTTTTGTGAGCAACCTATTTATTGTCCCCAAAAAAGGGGGCGGATCCCGCCCAGTTATCAACCTCAAACACTTAAACACTTACGTAACCTACCATCACTTCAAGATGGAAGTCATTCACTGCCTACGAGATTTGCTCCAGCCAGGGGACTGGATGGTCAAACTCGACCTAAGAGACGCCTACCTCATGGTACCCGTTGCGCAGGTGCACCAGAACTTCCTGCAATTCACATGGCAAGGGAGGAAATGGCGATTCCGCTGCCTTCCCTTCGGGCTCTCTTCCGCACCTTGGTGTTTCACCAAGCTCATGAAGCCCGTCATCGGTCTCTTACGCAGTCGGGGAGTTCGTCTAATCATATACTTAGACGACATCCTGCTGCTATCCCAATCTACAGAACTTGGGCTTCATTATAAATTGGGAAAAATCCATTCTAATCCCCACTCAACAAATAGAGTTCCTAGGACTCTTGGTGGATTCAGACACGCAAACCCTGTACTTACCAGCATCCAAAATGAGAAGTATCAAGAAAGAGATAAGACGAGTTCTTGTCGGGATCCCGCGGGCGGCTGCGAGGGGAGGCTGCACTCCGCTCGCGGTACTCACCCTCCAGCCGTCCGCGTTGGTCTCCTCCTCGTGGGTCCGGCGAGCGGCATCCTTCCAGCCTCGGATGCCGCCCGCCGTTCCCTCCAAGTCCCCCAGCGGCAACATACATGACGCTGCACGCTGGGAGACCGCCCAGGTTTATACACGCCGGGGTCAGTCACCTGACCCGGCATTAAAGGCACAGTGCCTTAATCACAGTGGGAGGTCTAGATATCTCCCACGTGTGATTGTTAATTCTGATTGGAAATTATCCAATCAGAATTAACCTTATGGTTTAAATACTTACCTTTCCTGTTCCTCCCTGCCCTGTTGTGGTCTT